GTAAAGTTTCTTCCAAATTTCACTAATACATACCAGTTTGTGTTACAATAGATATTTTACATTATTCCTCAGAGCATCATTAAATTCATTTAAATAAATTTGGTTTCAGCAAGTTAATCATTACATGTAGCATTTCAAACACAAATTTGTTCATTATTCCTATTATTTGAAAATTTTATTACGCTTTGTAGAAGTCGGTTGCAATTTACCTTTACTATTATGCAACTGTAATGCATTTTAGGCCTAAATTAAAGCATATATAAAAACAAAATAATCTTTAATGAGACATTGGTGATTGCTTTTCTGTGTACATGTCAATGCTTCAAGACAACTATTTTACTTCAGTGTGCTGCAGGAGGAACTCATGGTGGTTTTCCATATTCTTCACACATTAATACATAGTTTGCTTAGAAGTTCATGATCTTATTCATCATATTATTTTTACTATCACCGTTACTAATGTACACTTTGTTGTTACACTGTTAAGCTCAAAGAAATTAAATGCACAGAAAACTTACAGAAAAATCATTAAGAATTAATCAGATATCATTGCTATGAACTTATCCTGTGAATTGACTAAAACTGATCAACAAACCATCTATCTGTATTTATGTGAGTAAGTTTCAGTAAGCTTCTAGTGGATACCAATAATTCTTGAAGGATCAAGAATCTTCTCAAATGTGAAGTTCCAAATAATCATGAAGCATTGTCTGTTATAGGTGACAGAAAATTCAACTTGACAAATTTCCATCTTCAAAATGTAATTTTTAAATTTCTGTTTCTGATTCTACTTTTTATTTCTTACTGTTCAGTTTTATTCAGTTTTAATTTATTTTATTTTTCTGAAGTGCCAAGAAGGCCCTGAAAAGTTCAAACAGAGCCTTGGGGCTCTGCAGAGCACAGATTAAGAGCCACTGTTCTAACATATTGTGTATTTAATCTTAATTTAATTTACTGGATAAGAAATGGAAATTTTGATCTACGTTATAAACAAATCACAGAATCAATAGTGTACACCACATACAGTTATGCTGAATTAAACATGCAAATTATATAGAAAATATTCTAAAAATAAGAAATATTTGTAACATTCGTAATTATTTCTTTCTCTTCCAGTAGGTGTTACAACTAGAAATCAGTAATAGTTCCCCATCATGTTAAAGTCATATCTACTATTACATGTTAAAGTCATATCATATCTACTGATATCCTTATTCAGTTTTCTAAAAATTATAGGAAATATTTTACCCTATTAATTGTTCACAGTTGCTAAATTCTCAGAAAGAAAATCCAGCTGGAAGAAAGTGAATTTTCAGAACCATTCTTAAACCAATTGTTGGTATATTTCTGCTTTTTTATTTCCCAGAAATGCATGTAGTACTTCATCAAAAGCTTTTTCTATAGCCCTGCTTTTATATCTAGAGATGTTAGTAGTATCTTGTTCAAATTTTGTCATAGAACATATCTAACATTATGCCATCCTTTCATAAATGATTTCCTTGGTGTAACTCTTTCAAAGTGTATAAGGTAATCTATTTCTTATGCTGTCCCATAAAGTAAAAACAAGAACATTATTTCATAAATCCTGTTTGCAGTATTGATGACTTGGCAATTGACAGCTGTATGTGGTTTAATGAATCACATTTTAAAATGTTTCTTGCATTTCTGTGAAATGTACCACTGGTGTTAATGGTTTAATGTTCTCATTATGTAGGTATGGCTTTGAAGATTAGTTTAAACAATCCACATTCTGCAGAAATATATTAATAACCTATCAGAGTTGGATGATTTATAATCATTTGAAAGTATATTTCATAACAAAAAAAAAACGTGGTGCAATTCGTTACTGTATAATGATTCTTGATGTAGATATAGGCAGTGATGTAAACCTATCTAATTTTCATTAGCAATACCCAGTGTGAAAATTTATTTACTGTGAAATGAAAGGTGATAGCACATTTTCATAGTCATATTTCTCAGAGTTCCATAAAAACTCATCTCAGGAGCCTATTATCACTAGTTTAGCAAAAACATTTTTTGTTAACTAGTGTTATCAGAATTGATTGGGATCAGGAAATCAATTTTCATATTTAATCGGGAATCAGGAAATCAATTTCCATATTTAAAAAAAAGAAAGAAAGAAATCTCTGTATTCACAAACATTGCATTGTTGGTTTAAACTAAACTGTAATTTATTTTAAAATATTAAATTGTACTTTTTAACAAAATAAATAAAGATTTATAATATCTACAAATATCATTTCCCGTTGTAGTAAATGTATAGTTGATACACTTGGTATGTCAGCTTTTTTAAGTGAATTTTTATTGAAAGCATAATTCTGTTACATTTAGGTCAATAATTAAGAATAAATTACAGAATGAATTTATTAATATGTACAGTTTAAGTGAAAGAAATAAGTGAGACTCAAAGGAAGACATACACATAAGCAGGAACTATGAATAGGAAAAGTCACTAAGGTGTAAGCAATAAGTTATTGGTTATTGATGCTTAGCAATGAAAATGTTTCAAAGAATCCTGAAAATCAAACTTGTATCTCATTTTGAAGTATTTCTAAGCATATTCATCAGTATTTGTCCAAAGAAGTATCAATGAATTTGAATAATTGAGGCTGTACTCTGTATAGCAGGGGTGGCCAACCTGCGGCTCTTTGCAGGATTATTTGTGGCTCTCGATAAATGTACCCGAGTTCCCTTTTCATTTTTGTGTTATTATACTTTAAAAAATTATTATCATTCCATATGTGTTTCAAAATGTCTTTTAAATTACTGACAACAAATATGAAAGAGTAAGTGCAACGTTGTAACAAATTTCATTTCTGTCCAAGTTAAGAATGATATCCCTCATTGAAAACTGCCCGAATGAACATAAACAGTGCATAACAATTCCATTCGTCGGATTTTCTTCCCCTTCGACTGCCTCGTAAATTACGAGATGTGAATTTATTCGTAGTATGTAACACGTGTTATTATTGTTTTAATAACACAAAATTTGTATTTTTCTAAATTTCTTTATTTATTTCCAGTTCTTTTAAAAATATGACGATAGAGAACGAAAATAAAAAAAGAAAATACGAGCAAGAAAATAGAAGTTTTAATAATGATTGGGAGGAGAATTTCTTTTTTATTGACAATAACAGAAAAGCATTATGTGTTATTTATAATTCTACGGTCAAAAATTATAAAGCTAGCAATTTACGTCGACATTATGAAACCAATCATCCTCAGTTTTTTCTAATTCAGTTTAATATCCACCAGATTCCAAATTAAGATCAGATAAACTTGCTTCTTTAAAATCAAATTTAAATACACAATAGTCAGTTTTGATGACCTTTAGCAATCAAGCTAATAATGTGGCTGAAGCCAGTTTTGTTATTGGTATATTGTTACTGGAATATTGCTCGTGCAAAATGCCTATATGGAGAGGGAGAGTTTATTAAAAAAAAACTTGGAAGATGTACTTAAAGTTTTAGATCCAAATAATGCAGCATTGCACAAAGTTGTTTCACAAATTCCTATCTCGAGACACACAACCGAACGACGCATAACTGCAATTAATACATCTCTTGAATATAATTTAAAAAATGATTTGAAGAATACTGCATTCAGCTTAGCCCTTGATGAATCGACAGATATCTCTTAATAAACTTGTAAACATTGCAACTGATGGAGCTCCGGCTATGCTGGGTAAAAAAATCGTTCTTATTGGGCTTTTAAGAGATGATTCTGAAATTCCACAATTCATACCGATTCACTGCATAATTCACGGAGAACATCTCGTTACAAACTATTTAAAATATCCTGATGTTATGAAAACAGTGTTATACATTGTAAATTACATTTGCACCAATGCAAAAAATCGACAATTCAAAAATTTCTTTGAAGAATTAAAGGACGAAGAACTTCCAAATGACATTAATTTCTTTTCCATTGTTAGATGATTATCTAGATACAATGTATTAAATCGATTTGTAGATTTGTTTGATCCAATAACTCCATTTTTAAAAGAAAAGGAAATAATCTATTTAGAATTAGATGATGACGAGTGGTTACAAGACTTAATGTTTTTGACTGATGTCATGGAACATTTGCAAACACTGAATTTACAATTGCAGGGAAAAGATAAAGTAATATCTGAACTCTCACAGTATATATTTAGTTTCAAACTAAATTATAACTTTTTCAAAAGGACATTAAAAATGAGACATTTTGTCATTTTCCTCGAATTAAAAAAATTTGTTTCCAATATTAAACAAGAAAACTCAACGAGTAAAAAGCTAGAAGGAATATTGACAGAATTCCAAAATAGATTTCAAGACTTGAAATATATTAAATCGTCTCTTGATTTTTTTCTGAATCCATTTGAAATTAACATAATTCAAGGTGAGTTTTCCAATATAATTATGACCCAAAAAGCATCTGGAGAGTTAGAATTAATAGAGATGCAAGAAGATCAAGCTCTACAATTAAAATATAAGTTGATGCCGGTTACTGAATTTTGGAAATTTGTACCAGAATCGAAGTATCCCAAATTAAAAAAGGCTGCTTGTCGAATTATTTCAATATTCGGAACAATGCACTTATGTTAATCCTTTTATTCCACTTTAAAATTCGTGAAATCCAAACACCGATCAATATTGACTAACCAGCATCTCAAAGAATTACTGAGAATTGCTGTCACTAATTATTCACCAAATTTTAAAGAATTATCAAGAGAAGTAAAATAAATGTGTTTAATTTTTAACATTTAAATTCAATACACATATTTTATACTTTTATATGTTTTCAATAAATTTCTGTAAAAAATTTTAATACTTTTTAAATACGTATTTAATTGCGGCTTGCGAAAAATTTCAAATTTTGAAAAATGGCTCGAACTATCAAGGAGCTTGGCCACCCCTGCTGTATAGATATTTGCATATATGTTAAAAATATATTTTTAAGTGAAATTTTTATATCATCTGCAAGTTTTTTGTTTTCAGGCTGATTGTCTGCATCAGGCTCAGCATTGCACCCGTCTGGCACAATTAATTGCACTACAGATACATTTTCTACCATCAGGAATTTGGATAATTGGTTTAGATGATTCATCAATATCAAGATTTATTACTCAGCATGACAACTTTTCTCAAGTGAGTTATCAGTAATTAATTGTGCATTTATATATATATTTTTATGTATTCTTTATAGTATAAAACATATTACATACATCTATATGTTTTAGGCTTTAATTGTTGCTGAAGAGTACAGGAAGCATCAGCTATGGGCTCAAGCTGTGCTTCATAATGTTGTATTAAGAGGGGACAGAGAGTATTTAAGAGAATTTCAAGCACATTTTGGTCTATCTGCTTCTTTAATTTCTGATGTAGCAAAAAGGTAATTTATCTGCATTTTTTTTTCCCTTTTAAATACTGTTTCCTTATTCACCATTTCACATATTGATCGTTCAGAGCAGTAGAAAGGGGGAAAAATCTTAAGTTTCATAACCTTTGTATTTAAGGTGACTGAAGTGACAAAGTCCACGCATAATATAGCTGAAATATTGTACTTCAAAAATACATTCAGTTTCTGTCTTCCATCTTTATAAATTTCATTCTGTTTTCATTTAGTGACGTATTATCGCAGATATCCCCAAATTGAATTTTATGAGAGTTTGGAAAATGCACTATTAGTGCTTAAAGAATCAGTATAAGAAGTCCATTTTTACATTTCTCACTTATCATTTTTGCAAGGTCAAGTTAAAATATTAGAATCATTTAATGTTCTATCGGTACAAAAAAGGAAGAGTGTGCAATGTACTGTTCTACATTACTTTATATAGTAATATATCATGTGTGTTGTATAAAGAATGATTTATTATTGCATTATTTAATATTGGTAAAGGAGGTGCATTATTTAATATTGGGCTTGTATAATTTATCAATTAAATATAGCTATAATTATGCATATTATTTGAATATCCTGTTATTTACAGCATTCTGGATTACATGCAATTTCATGTATCTGCAGGAATTCTTGATATATGTTACTTGTGGATAGGGGATACTAACATATGTTGCTAACTTTACATGTATTTAAATAATTTTAAAAATAATAATACTTTTATTTTGTACTTATTTCATTGCTTGATAATTAAGAAGTGTATTTCTTAAGATAAAATTCTTAAAATGAAAATTGAATAAACTCTCTCTTATGATATATGTATGTAGGATAAACTGAAACAGGTGTATATACATAGTAAAAGAAAAGTTAACATGTGTCCAGTTACAGAGTTTCAAACATTTTATAACAAAACAAACAAGTTTTATAATAAAACAGAATTTTTGTTGTTGTTGTATCTAATAAGCTATTTGTAATTTTGAATGGATAAATCTAAAAAATGATAAAATTTACAAAAATTCTGCTAAGCTTAAAGGACAGCTGAAAAGTATCTCAACTGTATAATGTTGCTTTATGTGAAGTTTCAGAAATTGTGTGCACTCCATACTACTACACAAAAGAATTTGATGCATTGCTAAAGTTTTGGGACTACAATGTATGCTAGATTTCCTAAAAGTACTATCTAGTTACTTGCTGCTTGTTCAGAACCTAGTATCTCCCCTTTAATCATTAGTAAATGAATAAGAATTTTGTCTCTATCTCACTGGATTCTTTTGGAAAAAAATTATTTAATTACTTTGTATTTATTTCAGACATAACAAAACATTTGAGCAAGATGCTGTTCTTAGCTTTTTTATCCCCTTTAGCAACCTTATGGATGCATCATTGTTCATTTTTTCCACTGCCCTGGAAGACACCCATTTCTGGTTTCTAATAACACAAATTACATAAATACAAGGAGTGATCAAATGAAAAGGTACAAAACGACGTAAAAACGTTAACAGTTAAATATTTGCATATTCTGCCATGGGAGAACGTAGCGAGACATCTTGGGATGCGATTGGAATCTCTGACTGGGATCGGAGCATGCGCGGGCTCCCGCATGTGCAAGAGAGCTCTTCTTATTCTGCCATGGGAGAACGTAGCGAGACATCTTGGGATGTGATTGGAATCTCTGACTAGGATCGGAGCATGCGCGGGCTCCCGCATGTGCAGGAGAGCTCTTATCAAAAGCGGGGTCCAAATGATGCGGTAGTCCATATGAGGACAGGATGGCATTCGCGTTGCAAAATTCGATGACTGAGGAGCAGCGAGGTGTTATCCGATTTCTGACAGCGGAAGGTGAGAAACCGGCAGCTATTCATCGCCGGATGGTGACAGTTTACAGGGAAAAAATGTGTCTCTGACAAGTCTGTCAGAAAATGGAGTGCCCGTTTTCGTGCAGGCCATGAGAGTTTGGGTGATTATCCGAGACCAGGCCAGGCAAACACTGTCATCACGAGCGATCTCGACAAGGTGGACGACCTAGTGAGAAGTGATCGATGTGTCATATTGCAAATGTGACATTGCAAATGGTAAAGGTAGATGTCAGCTATGGACCCGTGTGAACAATTATTCACGACAGGTTGCGATATCAGAAGGTGTGTGTGGATTGGATTCCAAAGCAGTTCACCGACCAGCAAAAGGAACTGCGTATGGGGCTAGCACTGCAACATTTGGTCAGTAATCAGGAAGACCCCGCTTTCATGGAGCGGATCGTCACAAGTGATGAAACCTGGTGCCATCACTACAAACCAGAGACAAAGCGGGACAGTATGCAGTGGAAGCATGCATCGTCACCTCCTCCTAAAAAGTTCAAAGCTGTGCCGTCAGCAGATAAGGTGTTGCTCATCTTTTTCAACGTTCAAGGACCATTACTTGTGAAATTCCTGGAGCACAGAAAAACCATTAACTCCGATGTGTACTGTGAGACACTTCGACGCCTACGCAGGTCCATCAAGAACAAAAGACCGGGAGGGTGTGGTTCTGCTCCATCATAACGCGTGTCCACACGTCTCCAGAATCACACACATGGAACTGGCCAAGCTCAAGTGGGAGACTTTGGATCATCCGCCCTACAGTCCGGACATGTCACCCTGCGATTTCCATGTGTTTAGTCCACTGAAGGAACACCTGAAAGGGAAGCACTTCAACTCGGACGACATACTCAAGGACGTTGTGAAGGACTGGGTCTCGTCACAACAACAGGAATTTTGGGAACAAGAAATCCTGCGGCTTGTTCATCAGTGGGATCGTTGTGCTCAGGCCTAAGATAAAGTCTACATTCATACCCACCGTGTCATTTCGTACCTTTTCATTTGATCACCCCTTGTAGTACAAAATAATTAATTTTTTATTGAAGGCTGTTAATGAACTCAGCTTGCATTACAGTTACTTACTGTAGTGAGCATAACTGAGCTAGCTTGCATTACAAATTTACACCGACGGATATCATACATAATTGGGAAGGGAAAATTGCTTATTATCACAATTGGCAAAGGGTTAGTTGTTTTGATGTTATATGGTGTGAAATTTTTTTTTTATTTTTTTTTTGTTTGTTTGTTTGTTTGTTTGTTTGTTAAGTGTGTCTATGTGCACAAATGAATGAAAGAGAGCTGGTTCTGACATGTTTCTGCTACCCAATTGTTGACACATCTTAGAAGATTTCATACTTTCCATAGCAAATTATTTAACGCTGTTAACTTTTTAACTTTTAATGCTTGAAAAAGAATTCTTTTTGCTATGTGAACAGAACAGTGTCCTGGCTAAACAGGAACTTGAAACACAAAAATACTAGTTAAAGCAGCATAACAAACTCGTTATATGTATTTTAATAGAGTTTATTACTTGAAAACAATATATATATATATATATTGTTTGCGATTTTGCATTGAAAGCTTTAAAAGGCTGTATCACTTTTCAAATCGTTGCCACCAAATACTATCGCCCTGTATTGTATTTGAAGAAATTAAATAATGAAGAATCTGCATAAATGTATGTATGTTTCTCGCATTGTGATAAAACATAGCCATCCAATTTTGAATGGCGTAATCCTACTGCCAATGTGGGCATCTGAAAGCCCAAATTTGAAATTTAAAATTTGTTTTATTATCGATTTCATAATTTGTAAAACTTTACTGAATTTTTGATTAGCAAACTCAACAATTTAAAAGAAAGCAATGGCAACACTCTATGGGGAAAAACAAACCTTTTTATCTCCAGCATGCGGTACTGTGTATTGGAAATTCTAAAGATATACTCATATTAAAATTTTTTCGCAACATTACTGTTGAACTGAATTTTATGGTTTAAGGGCAAAGAATATGATATTTAATAAATAAAGGTAACACACAAATCATTGAAAAAATGCTCCTTTTGACCTAATTTAAAATCTGAAACCTTTCAGATTTTTTTAAAATTATTTTTGGTAATTTTATAAATTTTTATTTATAAATTATTATTATAAATTATTATTAACCGCTTGCCTGATTATCGTTGTTTATGTGAAGTTTCAGAAATTGTGTGCACTCAATTCTACCACACAAAAGAATTTGATGCATTGCTAAAGTTTTGGGACTACAATGATGCATTCTCCATTTCCTAAAAGTACTATCTAGTTACTTGCTGCTTGTTCAGAACTTAGTATCTCCCCTTTAATCATTAGTAAATAACCAAATAGCCATTTTTAAATAACCAAATCTAACACAGTCATGCAATACAATTCCTAAATGTCATTAAGTTGTAAGACATAAAATAGGCCTAAAGGGCTATGCCCAGCTACAGCAGCTGATTCTAACAAGGGTTCTGCATGTCAAAAGGTTTGGGAATGCTGTAATAGAAACTTTAAAAATAGCATTTGAATTAAAAAGGGAAGCTTCTCAATAGTAACATCAGTTTTAGCCACTGATGCTTACTTATGTTACAAGGAGTGATCAAATGAAAAGGAACGAAACGACGTAAAAACGTAACAGTTAAATGTTTGCATATTCTGCCATGGAAGAATGTAGCGAGACATCTTGGGATGCGATTGGAATCTCTGACTGGGATCAGAGCATGCGCAGGAGAGAACAGAGCTCTTATCAAAAGCAGCGTCGAAATAATGCGACAGTTCGTATGAGGACAGGATGGCGTTCACGTTGCAAAATTCAACGACTGAGGAGCAGCGAGATGTTATCTGATTTCTGACAGCGGAAGGTGAGAAACCGGCAGCTATTCATCGCCGGATGGTGACAGTTTACAGGAAAAAATGTGTCTCTGACAAGTCTGTCAGAAAATGGAGTGCCCGTTTTAGTGCAGGCTGTGAGAGTGTGGGTGATTATCTCGAGATATCTCGGGTTCATACATGTTGCAGTTAATTATTAAATTATTCCTGAAAACTTGGGTGAAGCAAAATTTTTTAGTACGATTTGTTTTATTACGGTTTTACTCGGCCTGGAGGAAATGAAAGGAAATATTCAGCTTTGATTGGCATTTTGCCAAATTTTGTTGGTTGCGTAGTCCTTTTGAAGGAACTGGTCACGTGTTTCCCTATTGTATAGTATACATCGGCTTGTGGATTAGTAATGTATAAAAAAGGATACATGCTCTGAAAAAAAAAATAATAATAATAATGGCGATGATGCAAGATAGTGAAAGCGATGATTTTTCAGATAGTGATTATATAAAGAGGTGGGGGAAAAAAAAAATTTTTTTTAAATCAAATCTAATGAGACAATGTAAGAGAAAAAGGAGGGAAAGATCCTGAATAATCTAAGAATGAAAATGTGCTACCCCCACAAAGTGATACAATAAAGTATTTGTTTTATTTGATATTCAGATATATATACTTCGTATTTTCTCCATGGAAATAGCTATATTTTATGAAAAATGCTTAATCTTAAAAATCCTCTTTAAGCATACAAACTTGATTATAGCATACACATATGTATAACAAGTTCACAGCTGTAATTACAAAAAAGCCACATGATTTTATATCACTTATATAATAATGATAACATTTTTAATGACTGTTATAGCAAATAACAGTTACATAGGAAATTACAGTACAAGAAAATGTCACATTGGTGATCAGTACACACTGACAGAATCCCATGCAGTTGGATCCAAGTTTGAATCCTGGGGATGAGTTGCATATTTGTGACTACAATGTATTTGAGACAAGGAGGCACTTGCAATCTTTTGAGCTGAAAGTCCTTTAAGAGTTTCGTGATGGGGGAGGGGGAAGATTTCTCAGATTCAGTCCACTGGGAAACTCTCTAACAAAATGGCATGGGTTCGGGTAGATCTTATATTTATTTACCTAAATCAAATAATCCAGTCTATTACAAGGAACTAAATTCCATTATACACATTTCAAGTTTTGGTAACATTCTCTTACTTAACTCCCTAAAAATAGTGTTCACCCCTTTATTATTATTTCTGTATTCTGATGATTTTCAAATAAAATCTTGCTAATTTTTAAAATGAAAATTAGTAAATTTTCTTTAATTGGTCATAGTGGTCCCTGTACTTTTTTTTTTGTAATATCCGTCTATGTGAAGATATATATTCGCATGGTGTATTATTTGAACCATCATGAAATGTTTCAGATGTTGATATTCCATCACCAATTGTGAGCATAAAAAGAAAAAGCATCTATGCATTCCACACCCAGCTCAGAGGCAACTTTGGTTGACTCTCTGCCAATTTACATTCAAGTGTCACTACTATACCAATTTTGTAATTGAAATGTCAAGAAATGAAATGCCAATGTAAATCTTTATCCTGTTTTCAAATACTAAATCATGCTCAATATTCTTTTTTTCAGGTTTAAAAAAGTGCCTACTAAAAATGACAGTGCTTTGAGAAACATGAAACTTCTTTTATCGCTATGTTCAAACATAAAAGTCAAGTACTGCTTGGCAAACGATTTAAGTTTTGGTGATATGGCATCAGAATTGTTAATGGGAGAAGGCTCATCTTACCTACAAGATTTAATAGCAAATAATATTATAAAATAATCTTATATGTGTATTTATTTTATAATTTTAATGGGTGATATATTGTACAAATTTATTTAAATTGTAAATGGTTTTAATAAATTTTATGAAATTTCTTTTTAAATTTTATAAGGTATTTCTCCTGCCTTCTTAGCGAGCCTTCAGCCTTTGTTGTGTAGTGGTCCGCATGCTCAGCATGTAATTGAGAGGTCTGTGGTTCGATTCCTGGCGAAGGGTTGCTAATTTTTCATCTTTCCTGCTTCCAAAAATACCTAATGTCTCTCAGTTTTCAAGATTAGAATTACAAAAATCAAAAAAAGCTATAAAATGTACGAGAAAGTAAACAGGAAACAAAGTTCTGAGACCTGCTTTATGTATTAAAGAAAGACTTGCAGATGTCTGATAATGAAGAATATAGGAAATAATTATATGTTTTGATTGTTTGTGGAATTTATTCGGTAACATGTCAAACCTGCTGCCTTTTAAAAATATTTTTGAAATAAAATATTTAACGTGTAGAAGATTTTAATCTTAGATTAATAAGGAGAAAAATCCATTAAAAATTATCTGAAAAGACTTCCTTGGTTGGTGAGTTAGATTTTGTAGAAGCTTTTGTCAATTTTTTTTAATGGTTTTAAATACCAGTCTATTTTCTTCCCATTGTGAAATGTTTCCTTATAATTGTCCAGTTGCTCAAGTTTCATTTCTTTTGAAATAAGCAAATCTCAAAATGAGTGAATAATACACACAAAAAAATAATAATAAATATTAATGTTTTAGTACTTAACAGTCTATACATAACTATAAATAAATGTAGGATTTAAATAAATTTATTGCAAATCAACATATACAGCAACCTATTACAGAACAACCTATTACTTCAATTAAAATGAGTAAAAGGAATCAAATACAGTCTTCAAATTCATCTGCATAATCTAATATTGTAAAGTCATCTTTTCCTATGTTAAGTGTTGCTTTCTTAGATTTCTTTTTACCACTTTTAGCCTGAAAATAAACACAGTTATATAATTAATCTAAATACTGCTTAAATTTTTGTATCTTAAATATTCAAAAATAGAAATCATTATAAAAAGAAACTGACAAAACTAAAAATTTAAATTAATTCATTAATAATGTATTCAATACTAATCAGCATGTTAGCCATAACAAAATTGAAAAGATCCTGTTAAACATTTTCATACAATGTTTTCATTTTTGAGAATTCAGATTTTTCCAATGTTTTGATTAAAAGTAATATGCCAGAATAGTTTTCTGTAAAGCCCTTCTCTGCATGATCAGCAATTAATATCTAGTACACATTTTTGGCACATAACTTTCCTCAAAATCAATTTTCTATCATTTGTAATTGTTCACATGATTCACCTGCCTTTAATGTGATTTAAAGATAAAGCCAGTAATTTATATGGTAAAAGTAAGATCCAGAGAATATGGTAGATCTGCGGATGCCTCAGACTTCACTGAAAAGAAACATGTGATGCAAGAATTAATTCAGTAGACCTGCCTTAAAAGTGGAGATTAAACTTTTTTATATAACATTCAAACTTCATCCTATACACAATAGTGTGCAAAACGTAAGCATTTAATTCATTTTTCAACATATAACCATGAAATTGTTGAAAAGGGCTTTCCATGATCAGTACAATGACAAAAACCAACTCAGTAGGAAGGTGATGCGTATGCAGTTATCAGCACTGTGACATCAGAGAGTACTTCAAGGCACACAAAATGCACAACGCCAGTGCATGCTGGGCAAGGCAACTTAAAATGAAGAAAGGAAGGCACATTTCATTTCTTCTGCAAGTGAAAGTGAAATATGTTGCAAGTATGGTTACACAAAAAAAGCAGGATGCCTTTACGCATGGTAGAATGATTTGCAAGCTTGATGAGGAGCATAGGTTGAAGTCCATCGCCAAAGAGTTTGGAACTGATAAAATGTTGCTTCACAAGCTTGAAAACAACAAGTATAGCTGTAAGAAAGGTTGTGCAAGGAAAACAACAGTAAATGGTGGCTGATATATTCTCCTGCAAGCATAGAGATTGAAACTACAGCAAGCAACATTGCTCAGTAATTGTACATCGCAACCAGATGACATACATCAGCTTACTGTGACCAGATGACTTCATTAAGATGGCCTATTCCCTGCCGTACCGAACGCTGCATATCAACATGGACCTTATAAGAAATAGACTAACCCAAATTGGTTTCCTCCCTCGTCTGAGGCGTTCCCAGCTGTCACCCTGATCACATCCGGAGGAGTAGGGACGACTTGCAGAAATTTAACAGTGGTTGCCTATTGCAGCGTGTATAATTGTCAAGAAAAAGCTGGTTGTAGCGAAACATTTCACAAATTAGAATTTCTACATGTTTTTATTTTTGAAATTGAGATTGATTTTTAAAAATTTAGCATATTTATCAAGCATATTTAACGTTCCAAAAATTAAAGCTATTGCAGGCTTCAGGGCTGGATATTTTTTTAGCTTTTCCTTGCTGTAAGGAAATTGTAACTACTTCTTTAGAAAAAATATTTTAAATCTGACTAATAGAAAATTTCAAACAAGCATTTTCTCTTGCAATTTTATGCTTTTTTATTGGTGTAAATAGTAAAAAAATACTAAATATTTCAAAACGAATTTTTGAAAGTTTTGTTAAATTCTAAATTGTCTGCTTTTAAATTATAGATGAGTATTATAGCACAATTTCTATAAAGGAATTTTATTTCAACTATATTCATAATACATATATTCATAGTGAACACTTTTGACTCCTTAAAAATTTTTATACATTTAATTCTAATATAAAATTGTATTTAACTGTAATAATTAATTTTGCTTATATTTTATAGTGATTATTTTTTTAAAATTTATTTTTAGTTCTGTATAAGATTTTTTTTATTTGCTGTTAATTTAACTTATTAGTCCAAAGGAGTGGTAGCCTAGAAAGGCTGTTAGTTTCGAAGCGGCATTTTGCGCTGTTTCTATATAAATATCCGTATCTCCTTGCAAATTTGTTGTTACCAAATATTATCGCCCTGTATTACATTTAAAGAAATTAAATAATGAAGAATATGCATGAATACATGTTTCTCGCACTGTGACAAAACGACAGTATCTAGAGCTATGAAATTTTGAATAATGTAATCCTTCACCCAAACATGGGCATCTGGACGGCCGAATTTCGAATTTGTTTTAATATATTCCCTATTTTGTAAAACGTTAACGAATTTGAATTAAATGAGTTATGTGATACAAACGAATTAAAATGAGTTATGTGATACAAACGCCATAGGTTTCAGCGTTAAAGTAAACCAGATCGTCCCTACTCTTTCTTCCGGACATATCGGTGATGAGTGCCCCGCCCACTGGGTTAGTCAATTTCTTATAAGGTCCATGCATATCAATGACAGCAGCCTATTGCAAAACTAATTCCAGTAGTGCATAGAACAAAGACTGAAGACCTCAGCAGTGAAGTCACATTCTCTTTACTGATGATAATTGTTTCAGTCTGACAAATGATTGGATATGGAAAGAATTAGGAACATGCTTTCATCCCACTAACATCAGAGAAAGATACCTCTGGGGTGGTCCTAGCATGCTGGTATGGGGAGGCATTATGATGAAACAGATAGACAGAGATCCATATTTTCAATAAAATTTCACTTACCAGACATCGTTACTTTTCCGGCGTGCCACTGGTCTTAACTTTGTTTATACGGATGGCAAAACATGGCCACACAGGACTCATGCTGTTCAAGAACTTCTAGACAATGAATTTATCCAGAGAATGAATTGCCCAGCATGCTGCACCAATTTAAATCCCACTGAACATGCATGGGTTACTTTAGGAAAATGCCTGGCAGCCCAATCTTACCCTCCAGAGAACAACAGAAAACTAAAATACACACACCTTGATGAATGGGAATTCTTACCAAGAATGGTTAGATAATCTGGTGTTGAGTATCGACAAAGTGCGCAATGCAACCATTTGAATTAGGAGAGGTAATATACCTTACCAAGGCTCTCTGATTTGTTTGCCTCCCTCTAGAGCAGGAATTCTTAAACTTTTTTCAGTCACAACTCTTTTTATCACTGTGATTTTTTTCGTAACCTCCAGGACCCCATGATGTTTATGAAAATTTTGTGGGACCCCATAAGTATTGCACAGATCCGACACACGCGCGAGTGAAACTGTCAATTTTTTCATTTGTACTGTAATATACTATTGCAGTTTTAGGTCATTAACTTTAATTTCTAATTTTAAGACATGGAACAATGTGAAATTTTAAATAAGTAACAGACGAAATGACAGCGTCACATGCAAAAGAACGAAAATGAATGTTTATATTATAAAAAGAATGTGTTGAAATGCTTTCGTTTTTAGCTTTGTCTGTATTGTCTTATCTTTATCTATTTTCAGATACATTGTGTAAAAATATTTGGTAATCTTAAAATTATTATAATAAGTTAAATATCAAAACTGCTGAAATTTTTGGTGACCTCCTGCTGCAGGTCCTGTGGACCCACAGTTTAAGAAACCCTGCTCTAGAGTATACAGTTTTTTGTACCAGCACCATTCTGTCAATAAATACCTTAGGCCTGTCTTTTTCCTATTCATTCTACATTCTATTTTTTTTGGGGGGGGGAGGATGCTACTACACTTTTCTCATCTTTTAAGTACTGCATTATGCCTTTGCAGTATGAACTTCATGTATCCCAGTTGATTTTTGTGAAATTGTCAAAATCAGAAAAGTTGCTAATATTTTGCACACACACACTATATATATATATTATAGACATATCACACATCATATAGGATACTGGCAGTATTTAGGATTCACAATCCACATAATTCAACGTTGTTTTACTCCTACAACAGAAAATTTTCTACTTCTATTTAACTATTATTAAATTTGTATTTTATCTAAAATTATTATTTAGGCGTTGCTACTACACAGAAGTATATATATATTTTTTTATTTCAAAACTTTTGTTGCTGTTGTATTACAGATTTTAAAAACTAACTCCTCTATTTATTATTTTATATTTTTGGATCAAATTTTTATTTATGTTTTTTTTATTTTTACATATGTTGGGTTACTTCTGTTATACATGTTTTTGGATTCCACTCAAATTGAAAATGTTTATCAGATTTTTAAGCTTTTTTGCTTATGAATTTTGCTATTATTTTTCATTCAGCCTGTATGTTTTCAAAATTTGAATATAATGTTTTTTTTTTTTTTTTAATCTGAATTAAAATATTTGCATATGGTTTTGTTTTTTCAAGTGTTTGATTATTTTTGTAAGATTTGTTTTTGAACTATCTATTTGAAATACTTTTTAAATCTGTCAGTTATTTTGCAATCTTTTTTATATTGTATATGTTTTTGAGCTACAATTTTTAGACTACTTACTTCAACTTGTACAGATTGGATTGACAGAGACACAGGTTACTTTATTTTTAAACATTAATCTGTATCTTTGTCAGTTCCAAAACAGGCTATTTATTTGCTTCTTTTGTTGTACCAATTGAATATCCCGATGCAGCAAAGGATGTAAATACCATTTTTCATTTTTGGTTCTGGCATGTTTTGCCCCCTATTTCTTGAAGTTTGTTTGCCACTGTGCTTCTGTTTTTTTTTTTTGGTATTTGAATGTGGGTTTTTACCTGAATATGGGTTGAATTTAAGTGTATTTATTTTATCTCATTTTGAATTATATGCACACATATAAATACACATATTCATAATGACGGGGATGAGTTCGATATTGAGGCATCAAAAAGAGTTGTTATTGGTAAAATCAAGGATTTCTATTATGATTGCTGGAAAAAGAAACTGAACATTTTGGGAAAAAGGAGAGATTGTTGAACTTTGAAGTTTCTATGATATGTTATTTTGATTACAATCAAATAATTACTGGACATGGATGCTTCCTGACGTACTGGAAAGATTTAATTTGCAAAATAATAGTCTTTGCAATTTTTGTAACGCTGAAGGCAATGCATGACATTTCATTGAAGACTGCATATTATTGCCACATTTTAGGGAAAAACAAGGTACTGTAAAGGAATTCTCTTGCCAAAGAGAAGAGTTTAGATTTGCAAAGGATTTGATGATCTTTAACAGGGTTCGTAGCGATCCTTATAAGTGCTTATAAGTCCTTATATTTGAAAATAAAATATAAAGGTCCTTATAGGTGCTTACTTTTTCTTTAAAGCCCTTATTTTTTTGTTTTTAGGCCTTATTTTTTGCTTTTAGTGCTTTTTTTTTTTTTATTGAACGCGCTATTTTTCCTCGTACTACCAAAGCCGAAACGAAATAAACAACATTTCTTCCTAATATGGAATGTCGATAGTGAATCATACTCCCGGAAATAGCTTTTTTTTCCCTTCTCTGCATTACATAACCTTTGGTGTGCACGAAGAGTACAGACAGTGCCCGTCGTTCTATTGGTCGAAAATTGCAAAAGCAGTAGAAAATTCCGGTACATTCAGCATTCTTTTTCCTCCACCCAAATACTACACTCGTTTGAATTTTATCAAGATCTTTATAATTTGCATTCTCTTCTGCTTGGTCAGTTCATATTCGTGTTTATTATGATCTTATGCTTATATTATGACATATGTATGAATGTTTATATAACATAGTTGCAGTAACTGCTGAGTATAATAAACTTCCAAAAATGTTTGTGTTTTAACACAGATTAGCTTTCTAAGGAAAATATATTCGGATGGCCTTAAATAAAGGAAAGTATCGAATGTCAAATAATTTCATTTTTTGGCCAATGCATTATACGTACGAAGATTGGGAGGTTCTCCCCCTTTCTCCGGAAATCTCGAATAGTGAAACATTGCAGTTCACTGCAAACAAGCAACGACTTTTTTTTTATGTCGCTTCCAATCTGGATTGAATAGAACTAAAAGTTCTGCGGTCTACCACCCAAGCGAAGAATGATTCTGTTCTGGAAATTTAGCATCGTCTGTTGAAAATTAGAATGAAAAACACCCCAGTTATTTAGTTCTCTATTCGCCCAATACCGGCAGCTGTTGATTCCGATTGCATAATATCACACAAGAATTACCGCGCATGTATTGCGCAATAACGTTTGCGATATTTGGCCGAGATAATTAATTTTGATGTTCTATCCAAGATTTGTTTATGAACACTTAAAAGAGTTTTACTGTGCTCGCTAAGCAGAATATTTTTAGTTCCATTGGTTTATTTTTATATGATGCACATCTAGAAATGTCAAAAGCATTTATTTAGCGGAAAATCTAAAGAGCAGCTACAGTCTACCCCTCCGCTCCTCTTTTTTCAAGTTACGCTCGACTGTTCGAATATTCGCCAATTTCCAAGTATGCGGGTTAGTCAAGCTTTTACTGTGTAAGGATAATTGCATAAACAAATTTCTGTCTTCTGATTTCAGAAATGTCCTCTTTTTTACTTAAATTATTTGCTTGCAATATCTTAAGGGAAAACTGATATACATGAAAATTTTTTAATTAGTAATATCAATATGAGTGGAAAAATAAATTGTATTTATTATTAGGTTCCAAGCGAAATACAATAAATATGCCTTATTATTTTTTATTTTCTCCATTTTGACTGAAATTCATCATTTAATCTTGTAATATAGTTTAGTTCGCTAGTTTTTTTTTCTCTCTCATTATGAATTTTCTTTAAATTGACTGTTATTTAAATTTTTAAAAAGTAATTATTTTCCATGGTTGAGTAATGCTTATTCTCTTAAAAAACTGCATTTCTCTATTTTAAATTACAAGTCTAATTTTTAAAGTTATGCAGTTGTGTTTAATGTAATTAGACAGGTGCTTATTTTTTTTTTCTTAAAATGTACTTGAAAAGTGCTTCTAGGTGCTTATTTTTTTCACTAAAATGTGGCTATGAACCCTGTTTAAAAATGGCAATAGAACAATATTGGGATTTTTAACAACATTTTTGTTTTATTCTGAGTTGGGTGTGCTGCATTAACTATGACGCTGATTATTATTGGCTAAGAGGGTTTTCAGAATCGGAAAAATACGTTAAAAGGACACATATGTATGCACGTTATGTCCTTTTAATGTATTTTTCCGATTTATGCTATATATGTGTGTGTGTGTAATATATATGTAGAACAAAGTCAGAAATTCAAAGGTCCAACATCAGAATAATCCAAGAGGTACCACCAGTCAAAATAATAAAAAAAACTTACACAAATTCTTGAAAATGGAGAATATAATAACAAATGAGGCAGGTGGAATAGGAAACTTATATAAATAGGAATTATACTTAATCACTATATCATGTATGTCACTTTTAAACACATGCTAACTACAGAGTCGCCTTGCAACCAATAACAATGCACTGATTGATGTTGCACTGATGTCGGCTTGGATCACACTTTCTGCCCTTGAGTATTTGTGGGAAGTGCTGCCCTAAATATTTTGCCTCTGTGTATCCTAAATTCTGGTGTGCAACACATCCCTAAATTCTATTGCCCAGTGCTTCTCCTAAATGCTAAAAATTCTGAATTTCCTCTGTCTACTATCATGCATGTCACTTTTAAACACATGCTAACTACAGAGTCACCTTGCAACCAATAATAATGCACTGATTGATGTTGTACTGATGTCAGCTTGGATCACACTTTCTGTCTTGTATGCTGAGTATTTGTGGGAAAGGGGCACATTGCTGCTCTAAATATTTTGCCTCTGTGTGTCCTAAATTCTGGTGTGCAGCACCTCCCTAAATTCTATTGCCCAGTGCCTCTCCTAAATGCTAAATATTCTGCCATCTCTAACTTTTGCTGCTTGGTCCTCCTCAAAATTCTGAAATTTTTGCCATTTAAATTTTCTTGATAAAGCACTCTTTTAAATATTACTGAACTACTCCTTTTATGAAAGTCCAGAATTACCTGCAGATTGAAAATTATCTATAATGATTTGATGCTTGTTTCTGATAGAATACATAAAAATTCAGACACCGCTTCAGAATATTAATATATACAGGCGGAAATAATAATTCTAACTGTCTATACAAAAAAATTCTGTACTTTAAAGATCTATTATTTTTAACAGAAAATCTAGTATGAGATGTAATAACTGATGTGAACAGCATTTATTCACAAAAATGCATATGATTCCAAAATTTTTGATAATGCTAACAAAATTTGATTGCTTTTAAAATGTTAAGTATAATTTGAGTGTTTAAATTCATGATTTATGCATACTAAATTATGACTACTATTTTTTAAATGTTCAAATGCTGCTTCATATTTCATTATACAAAAAACAGAAATAGATAATGATTACTGACCTTTTGAACTTTTATTTTCTCATGAGCTAAGGCATTTAAAGAACTTGTTATCTTTTTAATATCATCTGGATTAACTGAAAAAAAATGGCATGAATTATTATATCCAAGATATTTTTTCATTTAAAAATACTTCTAAAAATTCTTTCATATTCCTGAAGGGTTCAATAATGTATATACATGTACAATGTGCAAAAAAAAAGGAGGGGACAGTTCTATATCTCCCATTCTACTTGGCTGATTGAAAAAATTCAAATTGCGTTTTTCATGTTTCAAGTGCAACTTAGGATATATATTAGATTTATATATAGCACTATTCCAACATAGGTATTTTGACACAAAATCGGACTTTTCCTGAAAAAGCATACCGATTTTTTTTCCATATATCGATTCTACGACTCAAATTATGCCAGACTACCAAGTTTTGTAAAAATCATACAAGTAGTTTTTAAAAAATTAGCTCTCAAAAATTTAGCTCCTCAATGTTAATTGAATTTGGCATATATTTTTTAATATCTCTTTTTTTATTAATTTCTTTTTGTTTTTTCCTTTATATTAGGATAAATCAGGATAATTTCCTGATTATTTGAATATTCAGGAATTTATCCAGTGATGTATATGTCACCTAAAGCCGTTTTCACTCTTGATGAAACCAGTCTTTCCTTTCATCTCATGCCTTTAAGATGCTTAGCCTCTAAGTACTGATAAAGGCTCTGACCAAATACTGATGAAATGGATTGAATTGGATTATTAAGTTACGTCAAAGCAGGGCTATCTGCATAAATTGAGGAATGCCTTCATGAAGAAATAAACCACAAAAATGCCCACGCAGCCAGCCCGTTCGTCGGGATTCAAACCCCGGAGCGAACTACCAGTGTTCAGCAACTTAACCACTCAGGCGTTTGTGGGCCTTTATGAAATGGGAGGCGATAAAACTTTATTTAAAATGAATGTCAGAAATACCAAGATGTTTCGAAAAGTTGGATACTTGCAGAATGCCTGAAGAAAAAGAGCAAGCCATTAAGAAGAAAAAAATAAACTTTTCCATAAAATTTAGTATCTCTTTTAATTTAAAACTTTTTAATCTTAAGATATTTGATTCTTGCGATTTCAAAAATAAAATATTTATTTAAAATATGAATAACATGTAGAATGATAAAATTGTGTAAAGCAATGAGCACAATGGTAAAGTTATATAATATATTTCTCCCTTCGTAGTGTAGTGGTCAGCACACTCAGTGCGTATTTGAGAAGTCCACGGTTTGATTCCTGGCGAAAGCGTTGCTAATTTTTCAGCTCCTCTGCTTCCAAAAAATACTTAATGTCTCTACAGCTATTTAAAGCAATATGTGCAAGTCATCCTAAGTTAAAATGTCGGTTATACATCTTTCTCATTTATATATATCTTTTCTTAACGGAATGTTGAAAGGCGTGTTAACTGTGCTTTACTGCATTTTCTCTTTTAATATATTCAGTTTTCAAATGCATCATAGTCTGGGACACAAAGTTTCTTCAGTAAGAAATGCAATTCAAAGAAATAAAATCAAATCCTGGAAAATTAATTTTAATAAATGTATTTAAAATGCTCAAATCGAATGAATAAATAGAAAATTTTAAAACAATATCTGAAGAGACAATGCAACACAAACAATTGAAATAAAAGTCTAAAAATTTAAAAATTGCCTAAAATATTAACTATGACAAAATATTCACAAAATACATACAAAGAAAAGCTATTTGAAAAAAATAAACGATGCACCTTTTATTTAAACTATGCAGTTCGAATGGGTAAATAGAAATTTTTAAAACAGTTATTCGAAAGAAATCGTGCAACTTAAACAATTAAGTGAAATTCGAAAAAGAAAAATTACTTAAAATAATAACAATTATAATTAAAAATATAAAGAATATTATTTGAAAAAAGGAACGATTGTAACTTTTTTCCCGCTCATGGGAAAGGAAAATAGGTTGCCATATATTATGAAGTTCGCCAAATGAACTATTCTTAGCACAACTGGAAAAAAAGCGCCAACATAAATTTGTAAATTTCGCACCAAATTTTACAAAATTTCATATTTAGGCATAATTGAGTCGTAGAATCAAAATACGGGGGAAACAATTGGTGTTATTTCAGAAAAAGTCTGATTTTTGTCACAATAACTATGTTAGAATAGAGCTGTATATAAATCTAATATTTATCCGAAGTCACACTTTCGAGACATGAAGAATGCAGTTTGAATTTTGTCAATCGGCCCAGTAGAACGGAAGATATAGAACTGTCCCCCCTTTTTTTTTGCGAGCAGTGAATATAAAACTTCCATAAAAGAACTCTTGTTACTGAAGTATAAATTTATAAGGCTGATGAGAAACTATATTCTACATAATGTGATTATCACAGAAGGCTGAGAAATTAAAGAATGTAATCATTATCATATATTTGATTTTTATATACGTAACCAAGAAATATTAATCATAAATTACATATGCACAAAATCTTTTACTGTAAGTCTGTTAATAACCATCAACAGTAATTCAATCTAAGCAAACTTTAACCAGATTTACGGCAGAAAAATCTTAGTGTTCAATTACTTACAGAATAAATTTATCTATATATCAAATACAAAGGAAAACTCAAGAACTAACTACCATAATGACACATGTTTACCACTTCACATGCAGTGATCATCAGATCCTTTGACAAATAACAACCAAATCTTGGCAAAATGCTTTCTTCGACTATTCTTTTAAGCATATAAAAAAAGGGTTGGATGGACTATCATAGTTCATGATAAGTCCATAGTCCTTCTGTCTTATCTAGTATCATTCATACTCCTTCTGTCTATAATACAGATAGTAAATACTATAGTCCTTTCGTCATATCTATTTTAAATTGATATGTGCTGATCTAACCAAGTTCTCTGACTGAAATAATAATGAAACAAAGGAATATTAACTGTTCAAGAAAGACAAAAACCGTTATACTTAAAAATTCATGAATTTGCACGTTTTTAATAGCGGAGTAACAATATGCACATAGAAAGTTATGAATTCAGAGATGTCTTCTGACAACAGAATATTTTTAAAAATGTCACTTGAAAGCTATTTTATGAAAGTGTAACTTGGATTTTTTGTTTGCAGAAAATATAATCATGCATTTGGCAAATGTAGTGTTGCATGAATTCAGGTAGCTGACTGGTAGACAGTTGATGAGACAAATGGAGTAACTGTCAGAAAACAGAGGTTCTCAATTAAGGAAAAATGCAGTCAGCTTTTTATTTAAATGTTAAGTATTTTAATAATTGAATACACAAAAAATTTTCTATACTTTTTGTAGTCTATAAAACATGTTAAAAATAATCTAAATAAGCAATATATGTATTTCTTGAGCTCTGGAAATGAGCCAGGTTAGATGAACTTCCAGCAATGCTGAAAGGGATGCTTAGACAAAACAGGTCCAGATCCAGTGTCAGAGAGAGAATGCTGTCTCATATAAATAAGCACAATATGTTCCAAGATGACATTTATTATGTAAAGCATGGGACGTTTCCCATAGGTTATTACGGATAAAATTTTAATCTCTCTTAAAACCCCAATTTAAAAGTGCAAAACATCACAAAAATTTTCAAAGAATATTAACCTTTTGAGGATGGGATGGCCATTATAGTGGCCATAGAGTCCTCTGTTTGAAATGACGGGGTTGTCCACTTTAGTGGCCTTGTCTTTCCCTCCAATTTTCCAGGCTGAAAGAGTGGGGTGAAAATGTCAAATTTGACGTCCCTGGGGTTTCAACCACTTATCTCTTTCAAAGGTCTTTGTGTTAAGAATCCGGTTTTTCCAAATTATTCCCCTTTTAGTTCTTGTAGCTACATAGCTACAGAATTCGCGATAACTGCGTTTGTAAATTCTAAACAGAGACTTGCGTTGCTTTAGAATATTGCATATTTTCATAAGTTTTTTTTAGGAATTATTTTGACATTTTTCTAGCAATATGCCAAAAAGGAAAAGAGCTTTGACTGAAGAAGAAATACGAAAGCTTCTTCAAGAGCCTGATCATTAAATATATACACATACATATATATGTATGTTTATACACATATGCATAAATATACACGCAAACACATGTACATATGTGTGCCTGTGTGTGTACATGTACGTGTCTATATATACGTTATTCCCATTTAAAGGTATGCATGCTTTCCACTTTATGTGCATATCTGCACTTATACCATATTATATCAGTGCAGACATACATACTGCATGGATATGTAGGTACACATTTCCATAAACAAATATAAATTCCCTCGTACTTGAATACATGTACAAGCACTTTTTCTTACATTCTTATCAATTCATTCTTAACAGTTCTGTCTTTATTTCCATATATATCTGCTTATGCCGAAGTGACCTTCACATACGGAAATTTACTGTCATGATACTATTATTCAGACAAATCACAAGAACATAAATATAAATTTTGTGTCAAAGAAACAATAGTAGTTTTGCAATTTCAGTCTGAAACCTGGAAATCATAAATACGCTAAAACTAGTCAATCAGTTTAAAATGTCATCTTTAGCCATTAGATTCCAGATGTACTGATGTATTGTTATTTTAAAAGGTACCTCCATATCAGTGTCTTGATTTGACGGTCGGTCAAATAATTTTGAAGTAAGATGTTCAGAATGGTAAGAGTAGCATCTGTGAAATCTCACTGTCCGTTGAGCTCTGAGAATACAAACAGGATGTAAAAGCTCTCAATAAATGTACAAATCATTGTTCACATGTTTCCCATCTGAATTTTTGAACCTTGATCTTTTAAGAGATTGAATGCCTTTGTCATTCATTTCAATAAAAAACGAGAAAAACAGTTAATTCAACTGTGTCAGTGTAGATTTCGCATGACCTGATAATGAAGAGTTTTGAGTAACTGCAAGTAAAGATACTCGCTAATATATCATAGAATATAAATTTCACCATATAAATATGCTGCCATGTTTGATGTCAAAGCTGCTACAAAGACAGTCTGGAGTTGAAACGAACTGGTTTAAAGAATAGAGGAAATAGAAAAATTCACATGGGACGACAATTTCAAACAGGAGAGAATTTTGCTGACCAGCACCTGAAATTATCTGGAAATTTCTCTTAATGTGCTAAATTATGTAGCATAATATAGAATAACATAATACAGTACTGAAGATAACTAATTATCATGTAACTTTTGTCCCACAGTTTTTGGAGACACTATGCATAACAATTTTCCCTTCAATTTGAAAAACTCTTTGCAGTAAGAAATTACCTAAATTTTGATACCCCAGTGAACACGTTCTCTTAGTAAGGCTGGGAATTTAGTTTTAGCCAAATGGAATTTACATTTTGAATTATGGGTTTACATACTAAATAATTTGACATTTTTAATGACTTAAAATTCATTCTATTATTAACACTTAAAATATATCACTTACTGATTTTCAATAAACAGTATAAAACGGTACATAATTAAGTAATCTTTTTTTTTTTCAAATTTTTAAAACTAAAATATTCTAAAAAGCGTTTGTTTTATTATGCATTAATTTTGGAAAAGAACTGAATTTTAATTAGTAGCACTTATGTAGTTGGACATTGCAGTACTAACAGTCTACAACAAAATGAAATTATTTTAAATCTATGACAAAATGAAATTATTTACCAGTTATACTCTAATTTGCTGAGTTTCCTCCTTAAATAGTGTGTTATCAAACAGATTTTGAACAATTATATAAAATTAAAAACTTCATTATGCCTATAGAGCATAATTTTAACAGTTCCACTGAACTTTAATTTTTAATCATTTCTATAGCTTTAAGCGTTTATTTTTTAATTATTCCCTGTATGGAAGAAATTTCAAAGATCTAGCTATGTTTGATAATATATACCAAAACAAATTTAAAATTATAAGGACATTTAACAGTAAAAAAAGAAAAAGAAAAAGACTGAGATGAAGACTGGTTAAATTTTAAATTGTCCACGGAAATAATCAAATAGTTGAAATATTTTTTTGACATAACATTAATATAAAGATACGATAGAAATAATTATTGTAAGCACTTAGTAAAGACACATAGTTTTGCAGTGGAATTTAGAATTCAAACCAAAATTTTATAAAAGCGAAAGTAACGTCCTATAATGTAAAGAATGGCATTTTCTTCAACGGAAGTTTACACATTTCCAAGTACTCTCAATCCGGAACAACTGTAATATGAAATTTTCCCTCAGTGGTGAAAAGTACCTTGAAGTCTGGTCACGAATCCCTACACTTCTTTTCCTTTTGCGACATAGATGTACCCCTTTGAGAATCCGTTAAATTACACACAATAATCTTTGTTGCAAACAGGAGGTGATTTCTTAAAGGGGGGAAAGCATTCGGTTCAAGATTCCCCGTCCCTTCAAGGCTTTTACTGCTACCAAAGCCCCAGCCTCTAAAGGTTAAACACTAAATTTTGGAAACACTAGTAATAAATTAATTTACAGATCATATAAAATATTCATATGTACAAGTCTAATATAATTTTTTCATTTCGATTAGTATCATCTCCTTAGGCTTCTATTTGAGATGGAAGACAGCTATCTGACCTCACACATATGCTTGAAGTCGGGCTTTAAGTTTATGGCACTAAGCAGTATATGGCATTGATATTCAATAGATCTATGGTCCTTGACGATTTCATTAAGCATGGGCACTCTTGTGTTTTTCTCATCATTATCCAAAGAAACTTCCCTCTAGGCTTCCTCATGTTCCTTTTCAGTAAATGATGGTAGTTCTTCAGTAGTAATGTAACATTAAGAAATATGTTTACTAATTTGCACCTCTGTTTGATATCTGTTTACGCACAAATGCATCTTTTGTAATTAGCTACTACTAAAGTAAAATATATTCAGCTCCACATTGAACATGTTGATATGCATGACAATATACATGTTTATACTACAACATGATCCACTTTCTTACGCAAGACATTTTTGCTCTTGCATTACGTGAGGTACTTTTGATTGCATACAAAGAAATGATTATAGGTACCATTCCAAGCATTAATGGCAAAAATACAGTATTCTAAATTAAAGTTATATTTGGTCTAAATATAAGCGGATAATATTAATAATTCCCTCCGGCACAACTTCGATTTTTACAAAGGTTATACTTAATATATATTTTGAATGTTCATATACTAAGTAACAAGCAAAATATAGAAATAATTCATAATTATGCATTTTATAATTTTTTAAACTGTGCTCTTGCTTACATATATCAATGTGGAATTTCTAATACTACCTCTTGCAACTGAATTCAAAATATTGCTGAATTACATAACTGCAATTTTATTACAAAACTACATCAAATGGACTTGTAAATTTATGAATGTATAACCCATTTTCAAATTTCAAATAATTCCTCAATGCTTACCATTTAAACATAAGTCTCGACATAGATCTTCCAAGAAAGATATAAAATGAGGCGAGTCCTAGAAAGAAAAAATACAAAAAAATATTTTATATATACTGGAGTAAACAGAAGCCAACACAACTTTAATGATAGTGTTATTTTTAAAAAATTTCAAAACAAAATTATGAACTCAATCCTTTGCATGAATTTATTTGCAATTTCTTAATTAGATATAATAAAAAATCAATAGCAATTTTATTTTTAGCGAAAGGGGAAGGAATTTATTATCTCATAAACAACTAAAAAATTTCAGAACAAAACAGAAAGCATACCATTACTATAATGAATTTTCCAACAAAATATTAAATTCTAAGAGAGTGTATATTATTCGTTTTTAGAAGAAAATCTCAAAAACTGCTTTAACACTACATGGATAATGGTTAAAATCTACACTAAACATCTATAGCTTTCCCATTATGAATTTTTGTTAACATTCTTTTACTATAAATGGCATTCCAATGCATTTATTAAGTATTTAGAATGTGTGCAATAATAAAGAACTTTTTTACAGTTACTATACATATTATGTTTACAAACTAATCTTCATATCACTCTATTGTTTTTATTTAATAATGTTTTTTAATCATTTGTTTAAATCAAAAGCATTAATTGTTAAAAATTCATTGTTTTTTTAATGTTTTTAATATAAACATTTACTATAAATCATCATTTTATTTTAATTGTTTTTATTATTTTTTTTTTATTTATCACTGTATTGTTTAAAAATATATCTTCTGATTACCTTTTTGCTGAATAATTAATTTTCTATTAACTCTTTCATTGGCAGTTCATTCCTTACTTCTGCCCACCTCTCCTTTTTTTTTGCGTGTGTGTTGTATTTTAATGTTCAATTTTATTTAGTACATATTTAATTAAATCTGATTTTTTTACTTATATTTTTTTCAGTACTTTAGGGAAAAAGTGCTTTTTATTAACTATATATATATATATATATATAATATAAACTCAATGGGCTATGAATTTGACGGGACATATATATATATATAGACTACTGGTAGTGAAAAGTTTAAAATTCTGTGCTTATAGTACTTAATTCTCAATTAACACTAAAAGTGACAAATTCTAGTTAAAATCATGCATAACTAATACTTATACTGACATATGGTCAGTTTGTTACATATTATAGGACTATACAAAAGCTTATCAACTCACTTCATTTTGATGAATTTTTTCTACAAGAAGTTTACGGAAATTGTCAAAATCTTCTTTAGAAGATGGCCTCTTATCTATATCTTCAACAGTATCTGTAACACCTGTATTAGCCAAAAAAAAAAAAAAAAAAAATCTTTTAATAAAGGAGTTTATTAAGTTTGGGAAACAAAAATAATTTTGCATTAAATAATGAATTTGGTATCTAAGCAGCTTTAATTTTCTCCCCATCATAGTAACCATCAATGATCACACAGCATTAGCAATTACCTACAAATAAGAAAATATTTTTATTTATAAATTGGAAAATTTATGTTATAACTTTTACTTTTATTTAGTTTTCAGTTAACCTTTCTTTAGACATGATTAACTATAAAGTGTTGAGCCTATCATTCTTCAACACTCAAAGCAATAATAAAATTTGTTTAACCCTCTCACTGCTCAATTTGTGGACCGAAATCGCTTCCAAAAAAAAAAATTTTCCCCCTCCATATTTTAAATCTATATATATTGGAGAATTGAAAAATGCACTTTTTCTTTCTTGAAAATATTTTTTATACAGATTTTTATCATGAGAAACTAAATTGCCAGAAAAACCAATTTCAGATGTTATCATAATTTTTTTTTTTAATAAATTTCAGTCGAATTACAGTTAATTTCTATTTATTGCATAATACAAAAAAGTAAAATGTATAAAATTTAAGAAAATATAAAGCTCTGAGGGAAAAATACCTTAGAAATGCAGTTTAGCAGTGATAGAGTTCAAAACAGGGTTCAAGGCAAAATCCAACTTCACAATCTTTGCACCAGATTCACTAAATCTAATTAATAATTCAATAATTTAATTAAATAATCAAGATAATTGCTGAACGTTTTCTAGCAGCCATTTCTGTAAGAAAAAAGTGGCAAAAAGTGAAGTTTGAGCGCTATTACCACGCGCCTTCTTGTGCTGCAATTTAGTGGACAACTAACGACATCTTTTGGCCAAAACGTAAACTAAATGCCTAATACGGTATATAATTTATTTCAATGGTTAAACAGGCAAAACACAGGATCCGCTCCTCAATAAAGGAAGAAAAACATATGCCCGCGAAAATCGCGGAATGAGCAAATTTTGCTACATTTGAGTTGCCCATGGAAATCGCAGGATGATCAGCCAGAGGGTTAAACAAATAGAGGAAAAAATTACTAATATAAACTTAATGCATGTATATTTAAAAAATTATATTAGAAAATATTGATATGCATGCATACTGAAATTTGTAAACTGTACAAACTACATTTGACAAATCTTACAGTAAAAAAATTAAGAAATTGATCATTCCATCTAATGGTAGATTTATGAATTGATATGAACACTCATCTGAAGTTTGACTCTTGTTCTTTAATACAAGGCTATAATTACTATATTTTAAGAACAGATAATGACTTGGGGTTTCTTCATGATTGCAACTGCACGAGCTACAATAAAAAATATGAATCCACTGCAGTACAGGTTTAATGCCTTAAATATTAATCCTACATATACACAGTTGTCTCTATACCGGCCATCGCAAAACTTAGACCAATGCATTCAGCAGATTCTTCCTAATAATAAACAAAAACCCTTGTCTTGTTAATGGTTGTTAGTTTTTTATTTGATTATGGCAAAGCCTTCGAGGGCTCTCCGCCTAAGGTGAGGGATGACTTTCTGAGGGAAACTGGCTTGGATACACATTACAATGGTGAAAACGCCCATACAGCTAGTTCGTGGGATTTAAACTTCAGACCAAACTAGCAGTGTTCAGCTATTTTACCAATCGACCACTGATGGGTGGGTTGATGTTAGTAGTTTTAATAAGTTTGATGTTACTTCCAATTATAACTTTACTTAAAGTATACAAAATTTTACAAAAACAAATTCAACAATGTGAATGTTAGAATTTTGCAAAACTAAAATCTACCTTTTTACGCAGTCAATATATAGTAAAAAATACCAACCAGTAAAACACTCATTACATTTTAATTTTAAAAAAGAGGTTTCATATGTTTATGCATAATAATCATGAACATAGACAAGCTACATAATCGATTTCAGAAAAAATAAAAGTAGGCTAATACAAAATTAATAAAAGATACAGCTCAAAAACAAAATGATTATTCATCACAACAAGCAACTTTTGATTTAGTTACTTGTTTTGAATTTAAGTCAAAAATTACAGAGTCAGAAAATTTAAATTGAAATATTTTAGTAAATGTTGTATACAAATATATGAAACTTTTCATTTTTATGCAAAAAGCACAATGAATATCTTACTTCTTGGAATTTTTACAAGGCTCACATAAAAAAGTTAGACTTTGTATTTTACAGAATCATTCAAACATAATATGGTGGAAGTGTTTCAGTCAAATTCTCTAACTAATATAAAAACTATATTGTAGAGACATTAGATTATTTTGATGCAGGAGACATGAAAAACGAGCAATGTCCTCACTGGGACACGAACCTCACGAATACATGCTGAGTGTGCTGACTATTATACTACAAAAGCATGCTAAGGTGGCAGGAGAAATACCTTATATACACCCCCCTTTTAAAGAACGACTGGGGGATCAGGGAACCCAATCACCAAATCTAGATGGTGAAGAATCATCCACCACCACCTTTTTTAGTTCGGGCACCACTGTACAGACATTAGGTTTTTTCCTACGCAAGAGACATGAAAAATGAGGAATAACCTCACCGAGACTCGAACCATGGACCTCTTGAACACGCATTGAGCGTGCTGACCATTAAACCCTGAAGGCATGCTAAGAAGATGAGAGAAATATCTTATACTATAATTGAGAAATTATGTCTAGGATCTGTATTCAAGGTAATAAACTGTATAGCCACCTTTTCTTCAAACACTAGCAAAGCAAAAACAAATATTGCAAAAAAAAAAAAAATAAAAATAAAAAAAGGGAAAGGGGAGAACCTCTGCAGCAAATTATTTAATTGCTCAGTGCTATGTCTGTGGCCAGCACTGCTTCACATATTAGGCTGCTTATGTAACAGAAAAGTAGAGACCTGAAACATTTTCCTCAACTAAATTATAACTCAAAATGTAATATCTCCACATGAGACTTCCCTCAAGCCTTACAGCCTAATAATATTTTGAAAACTGTCTGCACGCTGTGATTTAAAAATAATTCTATTTGTCCCATTTTTCTCATAATATATACAGCCTAATATGTGAAGCAATACTAGCTTCATCGCACAAAAGGAACATTAGACTACAGGTGTGGCATTTTGAATATATTCTTATAGATATTATAAATTTAATGCTTGAAAGAAATAATCTGAGATTGGGAATGGCAGTGCTGCTCAGATGGTAAAGAATCCACACACATATTTATGATGTAAAGGCCATATACATGAATAATGTATGAAAAGACAGTATAGCAGACATATATATGAATGAGGAGATCCTTGAAAAATGATATGTCCTCTTTCCTTAAAGCAAAGGGTGCTCAGTTTATGAATCAACATGCTGTCTCATGAGCACCATCACATGAATGCCTCTAAAACATTCCATTCCTCAATCTATAAACAACGAACACTAATTTCCAGAGCAAAGGAATCCTTGAAAATATTTATTTAAAAGTTTGTATTGCTTAATCAAATATATTTATCCAGTTACAAAAGTTCAAAGACATAAATTAGGCATTTGATTTTATTAAAGCTGTTTTCCGAAATGTTAATTGATTTTATGTAGTACATTAAATGAAAATTTGAATCCTATTATTAAATGACTCTATTTAACTTAGCAATAAAATAAAGTTTCATGTTTTATTTAAACTTAGAGTAATTTTTTAAATCCCAATGAGCTCAAATAAGTATCTCAAATTCCAGTAATCATGGATGGCTGTATGAAAAATTTTGAGAATCATTAATTTATGTTTTATACTTATTCCTAGATGATTAACAAAAACTGCAAATGTATTTAAATAAAATGTTTTAAAAATACAATAATGCTTTTGCCTATGCAAGTAATATGTTCCACAATCTATCACATTTAAGTGAATTATGGATCATAAATATTACACATAATACAATATTAACACACGCACATATATATATATATATGGCACAATTTAACTCATAAGTTATGTACAATAAAATATTCCCGAGACAAAGCCTAATCTTCAAAAAATGATACAGCTGTATAAAATACAGTTAAAGTGCATAACAAATCATATGATGACAAAACCATAAAAATACTTTTTTTTCCCCAAAAATACTACAAAAACACTGGTCAAAATTCTACATGCACATTTATGTTCATAGTCCAGATTTCCATAAGAAGGTTGCTAAATGTGTCTAGGGCTGTCACAGATCATCAGCAAGTCCATTCTCATTCTCATTTGGCAGAAGTTTTTCATTTTATGTATTTTTTTTTTTAATTAAAAAATATAGAGAGAGAATCACTCACCAGATAAGAAGGCAAATTTGATATTAAATCTGTCCTCTGTTAACAAATTTATTATTAATCAAACTTCCCCATGCAATTCAATTCACAATCATATAAATTCTTACATCTTAAAAGCCATAATTAAACTTCATGCAAAATAATCTTAAAATAGTTTAGGAATGGATATAACTTATATTATTTTTATGCAGATAAACTCTTAATCATGAATTATTCTACAAATCTGTATAATAAAAACTGAGTTAAAAATGATGAAAGTTATAAATCCACATGATGCTTTGAAGTCAGAATTCTATACAGCATATATCTGTTAGTGGATAAGTAAAAATCCATTTCATCGATCTGTCAAGTTTTAAATGGATTGATTGTATCAGCCCTCTGCACAAATTGATTAACTCCATCTGAAAGACCTTAAGTGTCAAAGCATTTGGTTCAGTCATAACTTTTTATACTTATAAAAAATAGTCATAACTTTTTATATATATAATAATATAACTTTTTTTAGTCATAACTTTTTATACTTATAAAAAGTTATAAGTATGAAAAATTTTCCTAACAATAAAGATTAACACCATTAAATGAAAAAAAAAATGGGCCCCTGAATAATATATAATTTATTTCAGAAGCCATTTTATTAGTTCAGTAAACTGTTGCAAATATTTATTTCAAATTCAGTAGTATGTGCTGAGTGATAACAGTAAAACTTTTTTAGTTCCACTTTATCAAAATTAAAGTAATATATATTAATCAGTCACAGTCTAGTTGCCACAGAATCATGTATTGTGTATGAATTATTATAACGAAATATTTTATTTTGATAGTTATTTTTACTAATAATAAATACTATACCATACTAATGACAACTGAGATGTGGAAAATAGTGAATCATCTGATGGTTCTTCAATATGATTTATTAACAGAAAGTCTGGCTCAAGAAAACAGCTACATTTTTCTTCGGGTTCTTCTGACTGCAACAGTTAAAATATTGCAACAAACACACTGATTGGGAAGACAAGATGTTGTAATCCTGATAACTGGACTCGAAATTTACAAAAACATAAGAAAACAAAAGATCTAGCATACAGGAACAGAGAAGGAAATGTAATACCTGCAAAAACATTTGTCTATTTAATATGCAAATGTCATCAGAAGCACAATCAAAAAATTATTTCAGATAAGAGAGAGGCTGCCATAAAGGCATTTTAGTTAACATAGTCAACATGAGCAAAATATTTTGTTATGAGGTTATTAAAGAAATAAAAAGAAACCCCATGAATAACACTAAAGAACCAAGATCATATTCCTTTAGACATTATTTCCAAAAGACCAATGATACTCTTGCTTGCAAAAAATATTTTAGGGGCACGAGGATAACAGGGGATATACATTTGTTCTAAAGAATATTAACTACTTGATTGATCAGCACAATGGACATGTTGCAAGCAATAAAATAGATGACGTACGTTGTTAAACATATAGTCATTTCCAGCCTATACTAGTCACTACACTAGAGCTCATAACCCAAGATGACAATATTTAAATCCTGGCTTAAATATTAAGAAAATGTATGAATAATGTGAAAAAGAACACAACATGAAAAGAAAATTGTAGTACTAGTGAAAGAAAAATATTAGTATAAAGTATTCTCTATAAAATTAAATTTACATTTTAAAAAACTGTCTAAGGATACATGTCGAACTTGTGATTCTTTGCAAATAAAAGTTCAACCTTCAGATGGCAGAAATTGAAAAGGAAACTCACTTAGAAGATGCAGAACTGGCCTGTTGTCATATGGAAGCATCCAAAAAAAGATTTTCATATTTTCTTTCAACTTTGAAAAAATTAAGCCTTTCCTAAACTGACCACATTCGTAGTTTATTATATGTGAAATTTATATGTTTATAATTTTGGTTCTCATGATTTCAATAAAAATATAAACCACATGTTTGTTTGGCCAGAAACTGAAGGATCTTGTGGGTCTAAAATTTCATCTTGCCTAATAAAGCACATATGTTAAAAATATTGATCAAATAATAACATTCAGATTCATGCACGGGACAAATCAGAAATATCAAAACTCTCTTAAGTTTATTGAAACTTATTCAAAGTATGGATATAACAGCCGAGTCAGTCGAAATGAAATGTTTGGTAAGTGGACATAGATATTAGCCTAATGATTCAGATTTTGCCATTACTGATTCAAAACATCTTTTCACCAGATGACTGATGCGATATAATCAAAACATGTAAAAAGAAAGCACCATTTAATGTTATCCAGATGATCCACCAAGACTTTTTTTTCCTCAACAACACATTTAGAAAATTTACAGATAAGCAACAATTTCCAGTAAACCAGCTTAAAATGCACTGGATAAAGTTAAAAAAAGTTCAAACCCCACCTTATACAATTCAAATGTGACTATTTAAAGATGATTAGAATTTAATACCATTAATAAAAATAAATCTGTAGCATGCAGACCACAAAGTTTGAAAAATATACATTTGCCTTTATTATATACTAAACATAGAACTGTGACAAGGGAAAAAAGGAGTGACATGATGGACCTGCTAAACTTCATTCCTCCACCTAAATATGATAACTATAAAAACTTGATAACAAATTGAAATGATGAAACCTCACATACAGTTGAAGATATTGTTTATACTGCTGATGAAATGAATCACAAATAATATAATAGAAATGATAATATTCATTATAATGAAGACTCCTTAATAACAATATATAAACTTTTTCTGTAATTAAAAAAAAATTTTAATTTAAACATTTAATTTAACTTTATTACATTTTTCACTTGCCAAATATTTTAACTCCCCCAGTGACATAAAAATTTGTAACATTACTGATGATTAATTTTTGGCTTCTTTTTTATTAATTTTATATAACATTACATGAAAGTTACATCTGTATTTATTTATTCTATAATATTTGAGTTTAACATATAAAAGGAATTTGAAAAGGCAATGTACATTATTTCATCACATTTCTCCCCTTTTTGTTTTATCCAGTCAATTGATTTGTGCAGTGAATGGCTTATATAAAAGTTGAAGTATAGCTAAAAGGTATGGTGTTATGATGATTAGCTTAAATGCATGATTTGTTAATTAAATTTAGGTGAACTTTTTTTAAAAAGGAACTGCACTTAAACAACAATTAAAATAATCAAATTCTAATAGAATTATATGCTAACAAATTGCTGTTAAATTATCATGCATTACTGTGATACTATCATTATAAATCTGCAATATTTTTTTTCAAAAATTATTATGGTTGAAGTGTACAGTTACTGCATCAAAAATTAATTGAGAAAGTAAATATGCATCACAGGCTGCAGATATAAAATCTTTGCTTATACAACTTATATAATCAAGCACAAAAGACTTGCTTTTGCTGAAGAAGTGCTAATGTAAAAATTGTTCACCTTTCTTAAAAAATTTACTCACCAATTTTTGTTTATATATTAAAAAAAAAAACTACAGCCTTTAACAAATTTGTATATCTAGGAATAATTTCACACCAGACTTCAGTATTAAAAACTTCTTTAATAGCTTACAAATAAATGACATTTTAACATACATTTATAAATATTAAGTATAACAAAAGCACTTCAACAGCACAGTCTTTGTGGCATTTGAGTATACAAAGGCTTAACTAACCAAATGTTTCTTTTGCTAATTCTAAGTCAGCTTCTTCTTGTAATTTCTGTTGTTTTAACTTTTGTGCATGCCTTTCTTGAGGCGTTAGATCTTTCTTTTCTTGTTCTAGCTGTTAAAAAAAAATTGAGAGAATTTAAGCAGCTTTAATTTTTATTATACGCACAATATTATTAATGCTTTTATAATAATTAATGAATTCAAAGAGAATACCAAGAATTTAAAACATTTCAATTACTTTTTATTATTGTGCATTTTAATTAAGAATCCTAAATATAAAATACATTTCAAATACAAATCATACAATATAGGAATTCTGTGAATGTTTAGTATAGTAAAATAAAACAAAACAACATAAGATTAATATTTTAGCATTATTTTTTTAAAGGTAAGTTTTTAAAACATTAAGGCATAAATCAGTCATTTATAAAGTTAAAAACACTACAGGTCAACTTTAAAAAATTTAATGAAATGAAACTATTCTTTTAATTGCTTCTCTTCTAGTTTCTCTTAATTCACAGAACTTGTACAAGCCACATACGTTCCTCAATAATAAATTCCACACTTAAACAGTATAAAACACAGATAGTCTTGAGAAAATAGGTACTTCAAACAAATATAATTAATTGCAGGGAAAATTAATGTTCTTATCTACAGATACCATTGCTTAAACATTTCAATTTCATCAAGACACATTTGCCATAGAAAATTTCTTTCAAGCATATACAGTACAATCTCCGATATCCGGACGTCCAATATTTGGAATGATCTAAAATCCAGACCTCAAAGCCACCAACTTTTTTTTTTTTTTTTTTTAAGGGAATTTTTTGTATGCTTTATGCAGGCGCATTTGATTTGCCACCCCCCCCCATAATAAAACACGCAGAGTTCTGAATCTTAATTTCCCTTCGACACTCAATAAAATACCTAGTTATTGAAGAAACAATCATTTTAGTATAAATTTGGATGATCAATAATTTAACTCTGTAGTTGTGTATCTGCTTGGCATACATTTCATACTGAAACATTCTACATAGAAATATTGATTTTACACCAACTAATATTTTATATCCCTGACACCCAACCTGGCGAGTCTCTAAGTTTTATATTTTGCTTTCATCATAACAAGTTTATCAGCCCTTGACAACTTGAGTAATGACTCATGCAGCAATACCTAAACAACTTTTTTATATTAGTAATTGAATAACAAAGAGTACGGTAACCTTTTCTGTTGACATTATGCATGGCAATGATTACAGATTTTAGTTAAATGCCCTAAGAAATGTTGACAAAGAAAAATTTAACATAAATTTCTTTCCATATGCTAAAAATATATTTTGTTAATGATACTGATAAGCCAAAAGATTACATTTAGTACTATTTAAATTAAGAATAACTGATTTGTTATTCATGTAAACCCAAAACAGCTCATATGGCTGCACCGGGCGACAGAATTTAGGGAAGACAAAATTTTTGGAATTTAGAGAAGCACTGAGTAACAAAATTAAGGGATGACAAAATTTTTAGAATTTAAGGAAAGCACTAGAACCCGCAGAGACTGCATCAGGTGGTAAGATATCTACCACCAGCGCTCTATAAGTACATGTGGGAATTTATTTATTCAGGATTCAGATAAGCCTTAAGCATGTGCAAGAAACAGACTAAGTATAATAAATGACTAAAATGATACAATTCAGATCTTAATTGTCTCAGTGCATGGCAGAAGCAAGACAAAATTTAGGAGAACAACTTTTCTTTCATCGCCAATCTCATGATAGCTGATACTGAAGCTGCTGAACTATTTGCAGATGAATTTAATGAACTCACTAACTAATAATAGTGAAAAGTTATTTCCAGAACAAATTTACAGCTTTGATAAAACAGATCTTTTCTGGCAATATGTACCGCGAAATACATCAGCAAGTTCTACAGAAAAGGCTCCTACTGGTGGCAAAGATTACAAAGCCAGACTAACAATTTTAGCTTGCACAACTGCTGCAGAAACACACAAGTATAAACTTTTTGCAATCGGGAAAAATATACGACCTCGAGCATTTAAAGCGTAAAGATTCAGTAAAGATTTACCCCGTTATATATTAAGCAAATAAAAGAGTATGGATGACACAAGCATTAATGAACGATTTGTTTGAAAATAATTTCATACCGAGCCTCGGCAACATTTGAATTTGGTTGGTTTACCCAACAACGCAAAAACTGTTCTGTACGCCTTATACTTCACTTCAAGTTTTAGTGAAAGAGAATGTATCCGTATTATTCATTCCTCCAAATTGTATATACAACTGCATGCCTCATACTTCACTTCAAGTTTTAGTGAAAGATAATGTATCCGTATTATTCATTCCTCCAAATTGTGCTTCCATCATTCAGCCTATAGATATCGGAATCATGCGTGCACTGAAAATGCAGATATAAAGAAGCATTTTTAAAATCTATGTTAAATTTCTTGAATAATGGCAAGACTATTCAAGAATTTTAAAAATATTTTAGCATAAAATATGCTGTGTGATGCATTGCAAGATCGTGGGAGGATAGGACTCCAGATACTTTAAAAAATGCTTGGAATAATTTATGACCATGTACCCTATTTCATGGTAAGGATGATGAAGATGATAGCCATGAATATGAAGGTTTTCGGATACTGCAAACCCAAGGTGAAATTTTCCAATTATATAGATTTTGTAAAGAAATGTGGAGAAGCAGTAATAAATGAAGATGATATCAGAAGTTTTTTATTGCAATGACAATGCCCCAATCATCAATCAATTAACAAACGACAAAATCTGTAGTATGGTTCTAGATCCAGAAAAGACCCACTAACGATGGTAAAGAAAGTGCCAGAGAGGTTATTGAAAATAAAAAAATTTCGGATGACAAGTTAGTCGGAATTCTCGACACAGCAATTACAGGACTTGAAACAATGGAACTTGGTAACTGAACAAGAAATTACATCTGTCTGTAGAATTAAAGAGAAAGTATTAGCACTAAAAAAAAAAAAAAAAAAAAAAAACTTACATTAAAAGAAATGTTTAATAAAGTAAACAAATAAATATTAAGCCTTTCTTTTTTGTAAATTTTGATACCCTTTAGATCATAAATGCTTCATAAATCATGATTTCATATTTTTAATTTTATAGTTTCTACATGCCATCTTACTTGATTTAGACTGATGATCTATCTAATACCCAGAAAAATCCCAAATTTGAAATCGCTGGACTTTGTACTGTATATTGTGCATCAATTATAAAATCAAACTTTTTCCAATTAACACCCTTTTAACTAATATATTGGTTGCAAATTTCTGACTGAATAATAATTACAAAACAGCATGACATTCCTCATTAACAGTTCATTTATTTAATGTTCATTTATCTAGTCAAGCACCATATTTATAATCTGCAATAACTCTTAACAATGAAATGGGAGAAAAGCATAATTCATCTTGCATATTCTTTTCCCACCAATTTTGTTTCTGCACTGGGTTAATATTCATTAAAGAAGCATCTTTAAGTGAAAAGAAAGAGCATAACATTTGGAGAAAGAAGCAAAGACAGAAAGGTAACTTGCTACATTTGATTAATGTTTAACATGAAGATGATTAAATTTAAAAAATAAAACTACAGCATTAGTATAATCAAAATTTAAAGCAATAATAATGAGATAATGAGAAGGCCTCTTTCAAAAAAGAAAAAATTACTTGCAATTTGATTTGACATTTATATAAAAAAAGGGACGTTAATGAGCCTTTTAATTATAATTTAAGCATATTTCAAGAGTAAAACAATTCTACTATTGCCACAAAGAGCTCTTTGTGCTTTGGAATTATTTTGATGACAGCTTTTTTATACTAACCTATCACCTGGGTTGGCAAATTTCTTCCATGGCACGAAAAAAACTGGCCAAGAGAAATAGGTAAATGAAAGAAACTAATTTTTAAAATCAATTTAGATTTATATTTTATTCATATGTAGTACTGTTTTATTACTAATTTAATTATTTTCATTTTCTCTGTAATTTAACTAATCTCATATATATGCTATTTTTTTTTTTTAATAACACTGAAGAATTAAAAGGCACACGCAGTTAAAATGAAGTTAAAACAAAATAAAATTATCTAGGCTGACTCACTGAAACCTGATAGTTTTGCCGTATCACAACCTAGAACATTTTATTCCATATTACGTTTTTTGATAACATACGTGTCCGTGTACTTTCGTATACTTGTTACGAGAACTGCTTTCAGATCCATGAATTTAGATACATTCTGAAATTAAATTTCAATTTATAACAATAACCAAAAATAAATATTTAAAAAGAACAAAAAACAAAAATGAATTTAAAAGGAGAATCATACAATAAAAACTGAAGCTGCATCATCATAAAAAGCGTAACAAAATAGAAGAAAAAAAATTGTTGTTGTTACTGCATGCAATAAACTATTTTGCAATTTTAAGTGGATATATTTGAAAAGAGAAAATCTGCTTTTATACTGTTAAATAGCTTCAGCTATATTACATAGTTCATGGAAATTTTCAGAAATGACTCATTCTTTTTTAAGATTTAACATATAATAAATAAACAGCATCAGGATAAAGTAAAATTTTGGAAATGGTGTATTCTTAGAAAAGTTGGCAAATTTCATCCACAGAGGAGAAAAATCCCACAAGAGAAATAAATTTACTTATTTCATATTATATTCCATTCAGATATAACACTATTGTATACTTTACTGTATTCTTTAGTAATATGGATGCTTTGTATTTTTACTTACTACGATATCTGATTTTACATTTATACTGTATTGCTAATCAATTTATTTATACTTATTACTAATGAATTTAAATATTTTCATTATATGCATATTTAGCCTCCCTTACATGTATGCAATAACCTTCTTTGGTAATATGGATGTGTGTTATACCATTACTTGCTTTGAGATCTGCTTTTACAATTATGAACCTGGATGGATTTTGAAACTCAATTTCAGTTTATAATAATAAAAATTAACATATTTATTTTATTTGGGGAAGAAAGAAAACAAAATTGAACCTGTACTAGTATGAATGCTGTATAACAAAGAACTTTTTCAGTTGCATGAAATTATCAGTTTCCTAAATTTGGATACCCCCCCCCCAAAAAAAAAGAAAATCCTTTCTAATCCTGCTGAATGCTTAACTCTTTAGTGGTTAATACTATATTATGTTGTTTATGTGGAACTTTAGAAACTGCATGTTTTACTTTTCACCACACTACAGGATTTGATATAATGTGAACAGTAAAGTAAATTTTTGAAAACGCTGCATTTTCTCAGTTAAAAAAATATCACAGAAGGTAACAGATTATTGCTTTTGACTATTATTCAGTTTTTGCTGCTTATTGTTGCTCAGACATTATCTTCCCTTCTACACATCAAAAAATGAATAAACATTCTACATAATTTTCACAGGACTTTTTAGAGATTTTTTTTTTTTAATTTTGCAACATTTAATGAAAAATTTGTTTTCAAATAAATTTAAATGTTTTAGGTAAATTTATTATCTTAAGCCATCCTATAGATATATCATTGTTTATTTCTTTGAGTTTCTTCCCTACTCTTCTGGGTTTGCACAGTTTCTTCTATTGTCCCTTAATATACTGTTTTTCCCAGAAGAAACTTTACCCTGTCTAACAGGTGATGTGTGGTGTATTTAATTATGGGAAAGCACACTAGGGCTATCTGCCTAAGGGGAGGGATGCCTTTCGTGGAGGACTTTCTAAGGGAAACTGGCTCGTATACACATTACACATGAGGAAAACCACGAAAACGCCCATGCAGCCAGCCCGTTCGCGGGATTCAAACCTCGGCCCGAACTACCAGTGTTCAGCGTCTTTACCACTCGGCCGCTGGTGTGCTCTTGTCTAACAGGTGAAAAGCCTGCTTTTGCAAGGTTCTTTCTTTCCATCCTGTTTTGGTTTGTTTGCAAATGCAGCTCAATATGTTATAAATGATTAGATATTTCATGCATTACTATTTAAGTCACTGATGCATTTACTTTTTTTTTAGCCTAAAGGGCATTAGCTCAGAGGGGCTATTAATTTCGTTTTGGCATTTTGCATTGAGAACTTTAAATGTCCATTTCACTTTTCAAATTGTTGCTGCCAAATATTATCACCCCGTGTTATATTTAAAAAAATTAAATAATGAAGAATCTGCATAAATGTATGTATGTTTCTCATATTGTGATAAAACAACGGTACCTAGAGACTTCAAATTTTATATAACGTAATCCTCCACTGAATATGGGCATCTGGAAACCCTAATTTGGCATTTGTTTTATTATCGATTTCATATTTTGTTACACTTTAATGAATTTTTTATTAACAAACTCAATGATTTCAAAGTGAGCAATGGCAACACTGTACATGAAAAAAACTTTTTTATCTCCAGCACGAGAGACTGTGTATCAGAACTTCTAAAGATATGCTCATTTAAAAATTATTTTGCGATATTGAAATTTTATAGTTTAAGCGCTGAGAACATGATATTTACTAAATAAAGGTAATGCACAAAACATGCCCCTTTGGTCGTAATGTAAAATCTGAAAGCTTTCAAGTTTTTTTCTTTTTTTTCGTGTGTGTGTGTGTTTGTTTGCCATTAAGCTGTGGATTTTAATACTAACAACAATTCTGAACCTCTACTATAACCTTTCTATTAACTTTTCTCTGCATACTATAAAACCTCCAAATTCAGTTAGTCTTATACTTCCAGAATTAACATAACAGCATTAATAAATGTCAAAAATTACATGTAAATTTCCTGTTTGATAAAGCTGCTCTGTACACATGAAACTACTACTGAAGTAAGAAACACATGCTGTGACTGGTGAATCAACTATGGTTCACTGGTTTTATCCGATTGTGCACTAAGAAGGTATTCACCCACTAACAAAAAATGGTTTTGTATTTTTTGTAGATTTATTTATTTTTTAACCTGCTTTGTTTGTTTAATGGATTATCGATCATGGTTAAAAAAGGGCAACTAAAACAAAAGCAGAGCCATCAACTTTGAAATATAAAAAAACTAGGAGGCTGTAAAAAGCAGTTTTAGGGAAGTTTTTGTGCAATATGGCAATGTGATCCCAAAGAAACCCTAACTAACTTAAATTCACTTTATATTGCATGATCTAGGTTGCTGAATTATAATATTACTGAAGTAGTAAAATATATTAATAAATCTAGTATATATTATTTGTTCTTTGGTTAATTTCATTTCAAAATTTTCTACCAAGAAAATCCTTAGCAGAGAAGAAATATTTTTATTTATCAAAGTAAATGAAAAAATTATTAATTCATGTATAAACTATAGTATGGCTGAATTTAGTAATGCACCATTTATTGGTTTAAAACAAAATTAAATTAAATATTAACTGTTCAAATATTGATTGAAAAAATCTTTATGAAAAATTACACCTTTGTTCGAAGTGGATGAATACAAATCAGATCAAATAATACTTAAAATGAATCGCTTAGGGAAGAAGAATGGAATATGCAAAATTTAAGTTTCATTAATTTAATAATCAGCCTAATGATGTTTTTGATACACACTTGCTTTACTGAAGGGATTTAGAAACGTTTTCTTCAATAGCAAATATATATATATATCAAATGATCTTAAAATTCACTTAGTTCGAAAACAAGTTATTCTAATACTTGCGCAATAGCTGCAAAGTAAGATAATAATTTATTTACTAAAGAAACATTGATTACATTACCTCCTAATATTAATTTTAGTAGAAGTATCTAGGGTATCAAGGTAGAAGTATCGGGTAGAAAGTTTAATCCCGAAATTTTTTTTTAAATAACTTGAATGTAAATTGATAAAAATGTTTTACGGGGACTTGAATTAAATCATGAATAACAAAATTTCAAACTTTGAAAAAGAAATTAAATTAAAAACAAGTAATTATTGCTATTGATCGGAAATTAGTTGACTTTTCAAGGGGAAAAAAACCAACTCCCGTTTAATGAATAATAATTAATAAATACGAAGGTGTTTCGTCTTTTACTCAAGTAATAATGGTGATACCAAACTGGCAATTAAGTTAGGTCAAAATAGTTCCGTGAAGTGAAGGTATTTAGAACCAAAGTAGAGTAAAGAACTCATGAAATAAGCATTTCGCTAATACAAATTTTTGAGTGAAAACAATTTATGTAGTAAAATTGACAAAATACTTGAGTTACTGTCCCCGACACCGTGTTTTTAGCTGTTAATTCAAACTATTTGTATAAAATTAAACGATGGAATCTAAGTATAATAATGAAATAGAACTCGAAGTAACTGAAATAAACATTCGAACATTAAGACATAATGTTATCTTTGCAAAAACAAAGCAAATATAAAAATTGAAATATTACTATATATAAGAAAAAAGTGAATGTACATTAAGATATTGTATTAGCTAAAATGCTTAATTCAGAATGAGTTCTTTGGTACTCTACTTTGGTTTTAAATATCTTCACTTCACGGAACTATTTGGCCTAACTTAATTTGCCAGTTTAGCATCACCATTATTACTTAAGTAAAAAACGAAACACCTTCGTATCTATTAATTATTGTTCATTGAATGGGAGTTGGTTTGTTCCTCTTGAAAGGTCAACTAATTTCCGATCAATAGCAATAATTACTTGCTTTAAATTTAATTTCTTTTTCAAAGTTTGAAATTTTGTTATTCATGATTTAATTCAAATCCCGTAAAACATTTTTAACAATTTACATTCAAGTTACTTTTAAACAATTTTCGGGATTAAACTTCCTACCTCTGGGTTCACTCTTTTTAGATACGTCTACTAAAATTAATATTAGGACATAAAATAATTAATATTTCTTTAGCAAATAATATATTTATATATATCTTTTCAGTGCACTTTAGCTAATATTTCTACAGTTTAGCTTCAATTTTAGGTATTCAACTGTGCACAAATTAATCTAGGACTTTTGAGTAGATGAAGCTCATGAATATTCCATACACCATTAAGAGCCACACATTTACATACATGAATCATCTGGTTTACTCTAATGTTAAATAACAGTGGTTTACATTCTTTTATATTTGCGAACAAATTAATTTATATGTGTTGGCATGCAGATATTCTCAACCAATAAATAACTTCTTACCAATTTCATTTTTTCTTCTATTTCTTTTCTTTTTTTTTCTTCTTTTTCTGCTATTACTTGTGTTATGTGTTTTTTCTTTTTAGGCTGTACAGCAATCACTAAAACATAAAATTCTTGTCATTAAAATGAAACGCTATATTTTTAAAGCTTTTATTAATATAGTAATTAGACAAAAAAAATATTTTTTTTTAATTTTACATGTTACTTTTTTATGTACACATTAAAATTGATTTGAAGTAATTTTTAACTCTTAATATGAATGAAATTCTCATGGTAATAAGGCTAAATAAATTTAATTATAATGTAGGAAAATACCATTTTGTTCGGGTTTTTCTTCCTTTTCTTCTTCTTCATCATCCCAATTATCCTGTAACAAATCAAATTTATTATAATTGCATATTTAACACTTTTGACTACACGTTATTGATGCAAGTAATTAAATATGAGGAATTAATTTAAAGTGCATAATTAGTATGAATTATATGGGGCACAAAACTGATCACAAAATATATGATAATTAAGTAATGATACAATAGCTTGTGCAACATGGCTGTTCTGTTAATTTTCATGAAAAAGCAATGAAACGTTGCTCTTTTTTGTGGTAAGGAGACATACAATCTGAAACCTTAAATTAATAATAACAATAATAATGGCTCAACTATGGAGACAGTCATCTGAGCCAGGAGAGAATATATGAATGGGTATAACAATTTTTAAATAATAATATCAATGAATCCCACAAAATATTAATGGATGAGAGACTAATTAATACAGCACCAGAGAATGAAACAGGAGATTGAGCAGCAAAGCTTAAACTGCAAAGAAGTCAATATTGGTGAAACTGTGATTCATATCAAACTTACAGATGTGCACACAATATTATCCATGATGACTTCACAAATAAAAAAAAAAAAAAAAAATGGATAGCAAACTGGTGTCCAGATAGCTGTCCAGTGATCAAAAGCATGAATCACAGACAGTTTGTACAGAAACATTTGGACTGTCATCTCTTTCTGTTATCAACCACATTTAAAGAAGTATTCGCAGATGAAAGCTGTAAAAGAAAATAAATATATTTTAAAATTTATATCTGTGTTTAGTTTAGAAAATTCTTCAATATCTTGTACATTAACATCAAATCATCCCAAATATATTTTAGTTTGATTCAACTACCAACTAATATGTTAGAACTTCATAAATTTTATTTTTAATTTTTATGAATTTAAATCCTAATCAGAAATTACTAATGATAAATTTTGTCACTAATTATTAACCATTTAATTTTGATTTTTTTAATCCTTCTGAAACTTTAGAAAAGTTACAAATTAAATCATGTGGAATACATATCATTTCCCTTATTCCAAATATACCAAGAAAGAGTTTACTCAGATTATTGCTTTAAATATTTTGAATTTACATATTATCCCATCGACCATGAAACTACCCAAAGCACAGGTGATTTAACGCAATTAGACAAGTAGAACATCTAACACTCTAAACATCTGCATTGATTGCACTTTAGCCCCTTTACAAGTGATTGAGAGAACTAACATCTAATAAATAAAGCAAACAAACAGCTGAATATGAATCAGGAACAGATTAGAACAATTATCTTGAGAAGTTTGCATTACAGTATTCTAAACAGAGTTTCCAATAAAACTGGAGGGCACAACAGAACAGCAGAATTGGTAAGATGCAAAAACAAAGTGGGTCAAATACAGTACAATCTTGAATATCTGGTAATGCCAAATTCAGGACATACAATCATAGTCCTATGTTGGCTTTACATAGTTATTTGGGCCTTAATGTTTCATACAACAACAAAAAAAAAAAAAAAAAAAAAAAAAAAAAAAAAAAAAAAAAAGGTTATAAAATTTGAAAAAGGCTTTCACAGTATGTCCACAGAAGTGGTTATATGGTGGATTGCATAGAGAACCTGATGGATGTTTTAATGAAGTACATAGAAGTGTGGCTCATAATTCCACAGGATAGTACAAATAGGATATAAGTATCAAATACACGGGATATAAATACCACATATTTTTATAAAACTCAAGAAGTAATATCCATACAGCAAAAAACATACAGCAAGCAGAAGTTTTAAAGATAAGTGAATAAAACAGCATTATCATTTAAATGTGTTATATCAGTTTATAAACTAATACTCAGTGTAATGGCAAGCACTTTAAAAGATGAAATAATAGAAATAGGTTCAACTTTTCAGAATACACAAGTTCAGCTGTTATTCAATTCCAATAACCAAGGAAAAAATTCTTAGACTTGTAAAAATGAGTTTCTCCAATGCATAATCACAATGAATAGAACATGGACTTACTTTTTAAATATGGCTGATTAATTGTTACAACTTTTATCAGCCTTCAAATGAAAGAAGAGGCATATTTAGCTTGCATATACTCTCAGAAACAAAGGCTATTATGTACTGAAATCATTACAAATAGTTCAGCTCTAACTGTAGCTTTCCAACATGAATTACATAAGTTGATATGAGCTCCCAAGTCTCCATGAACTGTATCACAATCACTTATAAAGAGCTCAAAATGAAGGGACTATGTAACAAAAGAGCAAGAAGTATGTAAACTGATTTGAGCTTACACTATATCTCTCTAAGCAGGAATCATCTCAAACATAGTAGAATTCATTTAAATTGCACATTATCATTAAAATGCATTTAAATTAATTAAATTTCTTCCAATATATATACTCCCTTAATTGTTTGAATACATTTCAAGATGAATGTTTATTTATATAAAGGCATCATGGCAAATAATTTTGAACACATATTCGGCCAGGCCCCTTGAAGGGTTAATATGCTTGAAATAATTTCATCAACTAATTGTGATGTAATAGACTCTCATCTTCTGAGTAATCCAGTCTCAAACTTTTTCTTCTCTTAAAAGCTCGGGTAATCTGAAGTTTCATTTCTATCAAACAAAAGCAGTTCTGCTTGCTTTTGACACTTTGTTTCGCCAAACAGTGTTAGGAGCCACAAAATTAGTGGTAATTTACTAACCACTTTTTCAAGATACTCATGATTAAATATCTAAATTTTTAGCAGGCATGAAATAAAGCAAAAAAAAGAAAAAGAAAAGAAAGCAAAGCAAAGCATGTATTCATTCACTTCAATATATGGAGGTGTGATACAATTCAAACTAAGAAAAAAAAGAAATGTGAGTACAAGGACAAAACATATCAGAGTGAAACAAATAAATACAGTCACAAGTCGTTAATCCGGACTCGTCGGGTCCGGATTATCGATCATCAGTTTAAATCTGGTAAGATGGCATGCAGAAATTACAAAATTAAAAATATGAAACCGTAATTTATGAAATAAAGAACAATTATGATCCAAAGGGTATCAAAATTTACTAAAAGAAAAGTTTAATATTTATTGTTTACTTTTTATTAAACATTTCTTTCAATGTAAGTTGTTTAAGTTGCTTCGTTTCATGTGATAATAGTTTCTCTTAATTCTATTAAACCGACATAAATTTGTTTAGTTACAAAGTTCCGCTGTTTAAAGTCCTATAATTGCTGTGTTGGGAATACGAAATTTGTCAATGAAACTTTTTCGTTTTCATAACCTCGGGGCACTCTCTTATTCGAAGCGAATTATAATGAGAGAGGACTTGATTTAAATCATATCAATGATGGAGTACACGAGATGAAATACTACATTTGGTAGGAATTATAAGCCAAATAAAATAAAACATCTGCTTTGAAGATAAGATAGTGCTGCCAGATCAAATTCAATTCATTGCGCACAGCGGTGTGAAATTGTTATAAACAGATTGGATTCCGAACATATTTCGCTTGTTTTTATCCTTTACATATTAGTAAATATTAGGAAATTTTATGTGACAAAATTAAAAGTTCAAGCTACTTTTAAAATTGCTCTAACAGTCTGCAAAAAATATAAGCCGGATCAATTCGCAGATTAGGAAACAACGCAACCCATTAACTGATTAGATAATTTAGCTAGATAATACCGGCCGTTACACATTAAACGCGACGCAAGCGCAGAAAGTTTGTAGCTTTGAGGTCCGATTATGGGTGTCCGAATTAACGACTTTTGACTGTAATAGGGAAGTTTTCTGAAGAATGGAAGAACTCTTTTACAAAGACACATATAAACATTTTGTATAAACAAAACTGCATATTCACAAGTGAAATTACTTTCAAAGTAAAGTATTAACACATTAGCCCATCAGCCATGAAACTGTCACCAAACAGCATGATTTCATGGCAATTATGGATATGCAAGACATAACAACACACTCATAATATCTTTGCCTTTATTTGATGTAACTCTAATAGCTTCTTAATGAGTCATGTTTTGTGTTCATGAACAAGGATATAAATTAACTTTCACTGCTATATTTTTTCTTGCATTTTGCAGAAAATGATTAAAATTTGAGATCAGCCTTCTACAGAATAAGCAGTGGGTTATTTTTAAAGTTACATGAACCTTATAAAAAATGCACATTATGGGACACAACACCTTAGCTGAACAGTCATAAACTGGCACAATAATCTGCTGGAAGTCTGAATTCATAACATTCTAAACAGAGCTTTTAGTAAAATTGGAGGGCCCAACATAATTGTAGAAACCAATGAAAGTCTTTTCATAAAGTGGGTTGAATACTGATTGTTTATTCAATAAAGAGTCATCAGTTCCTTCAGAATTTCGCAGGAACGATTGGTGCAACTTTGGCAAGATCTTTGCCAATTTTCGGGGTTTGATGGTAGCCAACTTGCATGATCAATAGTACACAATTAATATGTACGTACCCAAAATAAATTTTTATACTCTAAAATTAAAGTAAAAATAAATAAAATAGGTACTTACGTATTAACGCAACCAGGCCAAAATGCGCATAAATTGCCAAATTTGGCGACCCTACTTACGGCAACCCTATGTGTTATAAGTAGTTTTGTAAAAAGAGCATGTGGAAACCATGTACACGTCGACTTATTTTTACTTAAAAAAACATCCCAGAATTGCACAAAAATGGCATTGTGCACACTCTTAACTTTATCCATGTACACTGCTATTTTCTTATAAATTACAAAAATTTGCGCGAAAATGCAGGAAAAGATTCACAAAAATTCCCTTGAAGTATTGTTCTCTGCCAGACATGATGTACGTACTTAAGAATACACTAACATATTCATCCCACTACCGCAGCTGCACAAAGCACTTAAAACAAATCTAAATTGCTTTAAATACCTTTTAAAATTGCCTTGCCCACTCGAAAACTGAGTTACATATTAAAACATGCAATTGATCTCCTACCACAAGAATTTTGAATCCATTTCACAGCAAGATTTAAACACAGCAACTCAGCC